AAGGTCTTTATACACCACTGAAAACATAGTTATGGATCTTATATTGCATTTCTGTCTATAGAGCCTCAGAAATATTACACACTGAACCTTTAAAGGCAGATTTTTGCACCTGAGTGTAGGTTGAAAAAATATTGTGGTTAATTGTGGTTTTAAACTATTATTTATGGCCTGAACAAACACTTGATTCCAAACAGTGGATCACTTAACAAATCTGAGGTAGAACCTTAAAAACAGTTATTAACAAATATTTATTTCAACAAATATGCATGAGTAAAATTTAAGTCTTTTTTTCAGTCCCTTTTCCTCAATAAAATAAAAATTTTTCTATTAAAGATAAAGTCTTAATTTGCTCGTGATTCAAACGAATTAAATCAAAAATTTATTGAATGTTTGTTATATTGTTATTGAGGACAGTTATTTCGTGATAATTATCATTATTGTTTTATTGCCCAGCCCTAGCTGTAACACCTCCTTAGTGAATCAAACACACCCCAAAACATTCTTTTGTTTTCATTTAATACTCTTTTCATCCACAGAATGACACTTTTGCCGACTTTGAGTCAATGACAGACCGACTGCTGGATGAAATAGTCCAGTACATTCAGATATACAACCTCACAGTGTCAAAGATAAGGTAAAATGTTCTTTTCTACCCAAATGTAATATCAGAACATTTTTCTTCATCAAGTATCTGCATCATCTTTATGGTGTATTCTTCATCCATTTGCAGCTTTGTGGGTCATTCCTTGGGGAATCTCATAGTTCGCTCAGTGCTAACTAGGCCTCGGTTTAAATGTTACCTGAGCAAGCTGCACACCTTCCTGTCTCTGTCTGGACCTCACCTGGGCACACTGTACAACAGCTCTGCCCTGGTCAACACAGGTAAGTTTCAGAACATTTAGCTGATGGTGGAAGATGGCACATTTTTATCATTTCAGATATTTCAGTCAGCTAGTAGCTGTGGTTGTTTTTGTTCTCTCTCTCTCTCTGTCTTTGTCATCTCGGTGAAGCTTGTCAAATAACTATTACTGTATGTTCCTAGGCCTTTGGTTCATGCAGAAGTGGAAAAAGTCAGGCTCACTCCTGCAGCTGACGTGCCGTGATCACTCTGATCCTCGCCAAACTTTCCTCTACAAGCTCAGCAAGAAATCTGGTTAGCTTTGCTATTTTTCACCAAAGACATTTAAGGCTGTATATGTGGTATGTGAGATTGTAGAGATAATTTTTGTATTGATCTGCTTTTGAAGGTCTGCAGTTTTTCAAGAATGTAGTGCTGGTGGGGTCACTGCAGGATCGCTATGTTCCCTACCATTCTGCTCGAATAGAAATGTGCAAAACTGCATTAAAGGACAAACAAACAGGTGAGTTGAAGGAAGCTTATGTAACAGTTTGCCACAAGATGTCTTTGGTAAATGCCAGTGTGCGCAAATTCTGAATTGGAGAAAAGCTAGCAAGCATAACAAGCCTAGCCTTAAGGGCTCTGACTCACCAAGCTGCAGTCAGCCGTTGGCCTGTATTTCACCCATTTAGTGCAGTTTCTCATTATTTGCAATCTCCAGTGCAGGTTGTATGCTTGTGGACAGTGACGAAACTATTTTTAGCACTACTTTAAGTGTTCTTCCTTCTGCCCTTCCTTTTTTGATTTCTTTACATTCCCCTCTCGTCAGTTCTTTTGTTCTTTAGTTCCTTCCTTTTCTTCTTTAACTGATCTGTAAAAAGGTACACAAAACAACGTAGACTAAATTGGGATTGGCTAATTTTATCTACAGACCAAAGCATGCCCAGTTCAGCCTGTTTCACGTTTGTCTATGCCAGGTCCTGTGTATGCTGAGATGATTGAGAACCTGCTGCTGCCAGTACTTCAGAACAAAGACTGTAATCTAGTGCGATATGATGTCATTCATGCCCTGCCCAACACAGCCAACTCCCTTATTGGCCGGGCTGCCCACATTGCCGTCCTTGATTCTGAGATCTTCCTGGAGAAGTTCTTCCTTGTTGCAGGCCTCAAGTTCTTTCAGTAGAACTGTGGCAGAATCAAACACATGAGTGGAGGAGAGGAATGTGGAGCCAATACCTCACTGCATCTTAACCTTATTCTGAGTATGGTATTTGGATCATCTCTTGTTTTTAATGCATATACTCACTTTTCAGTGAGACCCCAAACTCACTCAACACATGGGCAAATCACACCCTTTCATTTTACTTTGTTTATATTGGAATCACGGTGGATATGGAGTTTGCCATTTTTATTTTTCTACTGCCATTTTTTTAAAGTGTTTGTGTTTGGGAAATGATTTCCCTCATCATATGCTATATTTTCAGTGTTATTTATGTGTTTTACTTTTAATTAATTGTCTCCAAGTTACTCAATTCATTTTAGATGCTGAACTGGAAATGTAGCTGCTACAATAATGGCTGTTTCGGTGAGCTGACCCAAGTCAAGTCTGCACATACTGTCCTCACCATTGCAAATGTTTTCCCACCACTTTTAAGAAACACTGCATTGGTTTGCACCACAACTACATTTTACAAGCTTTTGTACGAAAATGGTCATTTGTACAAGTTACTTTTCTATCAACAATTTTCCATCATTTTTAAAGGCAAAATTTGCATTTGAAATAGGATTGTTGCTCAGACATTGCAGCCTTGGCTTTGGTCTTAATACTTTATGCTGTTCCAGCATTCTGCACAACATTTATCCAACCTGGTGTTGGGAGAATAAAGCTTTGCCTGCAACATAACATTACAGGGGTTTTAAGCAATGATCATGATTCAGCAAAAGCACATGTTGGTGATATGAACTTGTTTTATTGAAAGTATTTGGTTGGTATCAATTATTGATTATTTATGTGTTTTAAACTGGAAAGTATTGCTTGGAATTAAAAATGTTTCTAGGAAAATTGTTTATATATCATCATACTCTACCATTAAATATGCATATTATGAAGTTGGTGATATGACTTTTCTTTCTTGAGTTCATGTCAAGGAAAATAGTTCTCATGTAATTTTATATCACCTACTAATGCAATCTTGCTACTAATGAAACCTACTAAAGTAGCAATTTAGAAAGAAAATGTCCCATTTTACCATCATACCATTTTAATGAGCACACAATGAACACATTTTAGCCTCAGTTGTTAACAATGAATTTCAAGATTTTATGTTTATGAAGCCTAGTTTTGATTTACATTAATGCACAGCTCTTCACTTGGTTGGTTGTTGGATTGGGCTCATCATTATTGAGAACATATAGCAGTCATGATAATTATATAGTTTACTCAGTTCTTTATTCGACCGTTTCGTTTAATGATTATTCTGGCATATTTCTTTTTCATTTATATGCTTAGATTTCTTTTTTGCAGTGAACCTAATGGCCCTGTAGATGGCAGTGTCATTACAGTAGGTAAATGTGGGAATTTGTGTGGAGTGTTATGCTTAGAACATAGTAATGTGTATACCTGTTATAGGTCATACCGTTTCAGTTAAAGTGCCAGTTTAAGTAAATTATAACAGTGCTTATTACAATACTGAAAGTATTAATATATCACTTGATGTATTATTCTACATACTAGGAATGTGCGTGATATCAGAAATGTTTAAAGAAGGTTTGAATGTGTCATTCTTTCTGAATTACTGCGTACTACCCTTCTCATAAATGGAGTTTGAAAGCCATTTTGAAACCTAGTGATTGGAGACTGTGTTCTCCTCTTTGGAAAGGATGATCATTTCACTGACTTACAACTGAAAAAGATAGATGACAGACAGGATAGTGTAAGATGAACCACTTAAATATTAAGCCCACGGTGTAAAAAAAACAAAAACAAAAAAAAAACAGACAAATAAAATAAGCAGTATTTGTACAGGTGAAACACATTAACAAGTGCCTTCCTTATTGGTCATATATTGTGACTGATACTGGAATTGCTGAGAAAAAGTGTTCAGGGCCGACCTTTTTGTTAAAATAAAATACAGCATATATATACTAATTAAAGTTTTATTAGTTTCCAGGGAAAACTTGAGAGTGGCCCCTCTCCCCACCGGGCCAAAACATTTTGTGTTGGGATCTCTAATTAGCACGAGATCGCTATAGCAACGCAAACATAGGGAGGGGGATTGTCTGTTTAGTACTTTATTTAAATATTATGATGTTTATACTCCCATATGGATAAAGAAATGTGTTTATTTTTAGTTCATACAAATGCGATAAAAACGTGAAATATTTATTGAATCGAAAGAGAAAATGGTACAAACATTTCCAACAAGAATTCAATCGCAGCAGAGTACCCCCCACAACTATCCAACATGGTACGGCTCAATCGTTGGGCTTAACGGTGGCTGAAGAAGTTACAACACGCAATGGGGAGGGGGATGAGGTGGTGTCCTCCGTCCTCCCTGCTTCTGTCATGTTTGTATTTGGGAAGAGAAAAAAAAAAAAATAGATTGAGCGTCTGAACAAGTTTTGTGAAAAACCCGTGACTGAAACGTGAACTCCGTCGCCTCGTATAATGATGGTAAGTATTTTACTGTTATCATGGCCAGCGAAATGAGTAATTTAGCCACAGTTGCGATCGTCAATTTAAATTAGTAACGTTAACGTTACTGTAACTTACCTTTACAGCAATTGGGAGTTTTAAAAAAACACTAACGTTATTGTTTTCAGACTGAAGTTATAGCCTCTCCTCCTTTGTTTGTGACGATAACGTTATAGCAATAGGCAAAAATGGAAGTTTATGCCAGTATGCATGGATTATCTTTCTTACTTTTGTCTGTTACAAAGTTTTTATTCGCTAAATGAATCACTGAACTCTTATACCTGTCAGTCAAATTTAAATAATCCACTGCTCCCTCTAAACTGAAAAGCTCGATTGCCCTATTTTTTTCAAGCGGAGTAAGTTAAGTGTAACTTAAATTGTGTTCCCCGTGTTTATTCAGCTACCCCCTCTTATCTTATCCCTTGATGGTTTTAGCGGTCAGTGAGGATCCCTGACACTTCAGAGCGCTTGCACAGTGCAGAGAGGATGTTGTTTCTTCATCATCAGCCAGCAGTGTGTTCAGACGTAGGGATTATGACAGTCTTGGAGGAGAATTAAGACATGCAGATGGCTGCTCTCATGTGATGCCAGATTTCACCGGGGTCAGCAACAAGGGGGATTGTCAACACTGTTTGGGCTGATAGTAGACTTGTTTTTGAGGTAGGATGCAGTGAAGACTAGTGTTGTTTTATTGTACTTTTGATTTGCGATGAAGTAAGGTTGGTTTCATCTCATTCAATAGCACTTTTTATGATTCACAACATTTGATTTCAGGCATATCTCCATGTATTATGACAGGATGGATAACTAGCTACTTTTTAATAAGTATAGCTATGTTTGCTCTGTAAATGCATTCCATTTGACAGGGTAGGCCGATCACAGAAAAAGTGACTGCTGAGCTGAGCTCTTAAGTAAATTTATGTTGCATATAAGTCAATAATGGATAAAGTCTCAAACATAGACAGATCAGATGCTACAAATGGGTGAGGGACATGATTGCAAAACATTGCATTTCAAGTGTAGTTCAGATGTCTAACAATGCTTCTTAAACAATATTATTTTAGTTATTGAAATGTACAGTATAAAACAGTTTTCAGAGTCACAGCAGAAATAAAAAATACCCCCCAAAAAAACCTTCCAAATTCCTCTACAAATCTGTCCATATTTATCAGTCTCATTGCTTCACACATAAATTGCTCACATATGTCTGCAACGTCTTCTGCCAAATATCTCAGTAATTGAAAAAAATATGGTGTATTATTATTATTTGGTTCATCATCACGAATTATGTTTTGTTGCATCGGAGTGTAATTTTGGTGTTATTGAATTTTAAAAAATCATATTTTGTCATTGAAGAGTCTATTATGCAGTAGTATTGTAATATTTTAGCAGTTAAGTTCACATTACAGTAGATTGGCCAAACAAAGTATAGCGCTTCAGCCCTCTCATTTTGGGCATAGATTATATTGAAGAAGCACTTCAAAAAGGACTCAAAAATGTTGATATGATTTGATTATGATAAAAAAACAAAAACAAATTATACCCTCACAATGTGAAAATATACTTTCTACCATTTGCCTCACTGTACATGTACCATGTAGTTTGACTCTGTCATAAACAAGTCAATGTTCAAGCAACTGGAATTTCAGGTTTTCTGTTTGCAATGACACACAGATGTGAGCGAGGATGTGTTTAAACATGTCTATAAATGAGGCCTATTTGGTTAACACAAATGTTTTGCCCTCTGAGCCAAGAACATTCACTTTCGTAATTCCTACAACTGCATTTGTACGCTGGTGGCACCTTTTGATAAGATTTTTGTTTTCATATGATTTATCTCTTTTGACGTGTTGCATCTGGTGCTTTTAAACATGTGTAAATATCTTTTCCCCCAATGTGAATGCTAAACTTCTGAAGAGTTAGGTGTAAAAGCACAAAAGTATGATGCAAAGAAACGGCAGTTTGTTTGCCCGAAGGACCCCTTACAATGCTGCTTGTTTGTGTTTCTCAGTTAAAAGTAAAAGAAATGTTGCACATGGAGGAGATTGGCACAAGAGCTGGCTGCTTCAGTTACGGATCAGTTCTTTTTTTTTTTTTTTAACTGGTTATTGTCCAGAGCAGGGTTTAAGAGGATCAGAGTCGGTGTGCGGCAGTAATTAACCTGATTAATTGATTCTTAGACATTAATCGGATGAGCCTCGTACCAGTTAGGGCTTTGGGGTCAACATAATGCGGCAAGCTTCAGGTGAGCTATGGCTTCAGCTAGACAGTCTACCATGGCCATCTGTTTTTGTATGCTAAGCAGAGTCTGCAGTAATACATTTCCTTTTTAAGGTTGTGTAAAATATTCACAAGAAGTATGTCACTGATTGTTTCCAGTTAATGAATATTATTAAGATTACAGAATGATAAGCTCACTGAGTTTGCCCAACCATTTACCTGCTTCTCAATTTGGGTCAAGATGCCTTTTAAGTTAGACCAACTTTTACAGTTAAATTTGAGTTATGTATTTGATATTTGGGAAAATCCCTCTGGTTGATAATTGGGATGGTAAAGCAATTTTCCTCTGACCCCTCAGAAGGGACAAACCATATTGAGTTAATTTTGGCTGTGCTATAATGCGAGACCTCATCATACTGAATGTGTCTGCAGAAGGGATTGTTTATGCTTTGACTAACTGACAGTATGATAATGCACTGTCAATGCAAAAGGTTACACATTACAGCAGAATAGTTAGTTATGGTGATCTTATTTGTTGAATTTCTTTCAGTTTGGTATCAGACCTTACACATGATCTGTTTTCAAATTCCATTCTGCTTCTGTATTCATCATTCACATTGAACTGTTAGGTCATTTTTTTTTTATTTCTTTGCTAATCTCAGTCTGATGTCATCTCTCTTTTTAGATGCAATATGGACAGACTGCCCTGGAACAGATAAAAAGTGAAGGATAGAGGAAGCAAGAGAAGACTGAACTATTTTAACAGAAAGAAAGTACTTATCACAGACAAACACAAGACATCATGTCCACTTCGATAAAGCAGGAGAGAAACATTTGTGTTCTCCTCCCCAACAAAGATCAGCTGGACATCGGTGTCGGGGTGAGTATTTAACATGTCTCTAGCTGTCCTCTTGACAATCACCAAGAGGTCTTAACATATGGTCAAATTTCTGTTTATCACTATGTTTTGGCTGCACCACATTTTTTTGTTTTTTGAACAATGTGAATGAATATTGAATACGGACGACTTTGTCTTTTCACCTGCTCCAGCCGAAGTCCACAGGGCAGGATGTTTTTAACCGTGTAGCAGAGCTTCTTGGAATCAAAGAGCTGCATTTCTTTGGCCTCACAGTGGTGAAGGGTAAGTTCACTCCTCATTGACCCCTCAGCCTCTGAACCTGAATGGACTATTAACACTGCAGTATTGTCAGAGACTGAAAAATATGATCTTAGGGTAGAAAGTTTTTTTGATCAGTGCAAGCACATACAGCACCACAGTTGAGCAGTCAATCCATCAGATTGTAAACAAGAGCATCATTTTTGGATTATGATGATTTACCACAAGGCTTTGTTGCACCAGTCTTGGTGGCGTTTGTTTACGTAATAATGTGGAAAATGTTTTCTGCCAAAAGGCTATATATATATTTCAGCCCTCCCTGTCTGTATAATTGAACGTCATAATCCACTTTAGCCACTGAACAAAGTCCTGAACTTTCTGTTTCCTTGCATTCCTGTTCTTTCTTTGAACAAATACGTTGAAATGCCTCGGTAATCTTGTGTGGTGCACCACTTCAACAAGCGGCCTTTTGTTTTTGTGGTGTTGGTTCAGCGATCACTTAGGCCTGGATTCCTGCAATATTAACTTCATTAAGCCTGGAATGCGCCCTTGCATTCCTCCTCTTCACTGAGGGGAGGGATGGCTTGATGATGGGAAGAGGGGAGTGGGAGTGGAGGGGAAAGAGGTAGCACCACTCATCATGACACAAGCCGCCTTACTCAACATTTACTCAAAGGCCTCAATGAGGGATGATAGGTGAAGGAGTTGGAATGAGACAGGCTGAAAGGAGAGACTGGTGGATAAAGGAACGAGTTGTGAAACGGCTCAGCAAGCATGATTCGGCTACACAAAGTTGAACAAAAGAGATAAGGTCGATCAAATAGAAGATGCCCATGTCATGACTCACAGGACCAGGCTGAGAATGATACAACATCCTCATTCTCAGCACAGGTTGCAAACAGCCTTATAGCCCCTCCACTAAAATAGAATTCAAATTAGTTTTTGATGAATTAGAAAATGTATCCATTAACATTAGCATTGTTGTCATTAGCTTCCTAGTAGCCTCATTCACAAATGTAAGAACAAGGGCTTTTTCTTTTCCCCAACAAATCCCATTGTTGGGCAAATTTCACGCTTGGTTGCATTATTGTTTGTTCGCTTGCTAACTGTCTGCTTGTTTCCTGATTGTCTTTCTCTATCACAGACAATGAGCACATATTTTTAGACATGGAGGAGAAACTGATTAACTACTTTCCTAAGGAATGGAAGCAAGATTCGGTAAAGGTAAGGCAGCCTTTTGGCAGGGGAAGCAAATGTTGACAGCAATTTGCTGTGACCTACTCCGAACTAATATAAGTGTCAGTTAATTGGGAGGCATAGTTCAGTGGCCTACATGCCACAAGTTTTCATTTAGCATGACAAAAAGATGCTACCACACACAGGCCTTTTCGAACATTTGAACATGTCTCTCTCTTCATACAGGGATTACGGAGGAGACCGTTGCCTCTAGTACTCTGCCTCAAAGTGCAGTACTACATAGAAAACGGCAGACTCATTTGGTATGTCCTTCCTCACACTGGACTTTTTTTATAGCTAGTGTACTTCTGTTTTTTTTTTTTTTTCATCCATCTTTGCTCCCTTGTTGACATCAGTCTTTTTTTCTTTTGATGTGTGGTACCAGTGAACGAAAGGCACGGTATCTATACTATTCTGACTTAAGGGAGCGGGTGCTTCGCTCTGAATGTCGTCAGCAGGAGGAAGTGTACTTCCAGTTGGCAGGTTACGCCTTGCAGGCTGACCTCGGTGACCACCCGCCTCCCATGGAGGAGACCACTCCTTACTTTGAACCCAAGGAGTATTTTCCCCCTTGGGTAGGTGTTAAAAAAAACCTTTGAATCTAACTTGATGTTCAGTGTAAAATTTTAATACAACTGTCCTACATTCCATTGCTTTGTATTTTGAGGTGATATAGCACTCTACATGTCTGTTCCTTCTTCCTTCTGCAGATTGTAGCTAAGCGTGGAGTAAACTATCTCCTCTGCCATGGGCCCAAGGTGCATCAGGAGCAGTGGGGCATGTCTCCTCGTGATGCCATCCTGCTCTTCATCAGGGAGTCATGTCGACTGGAGGATGTACCTGTCACGTTTTACAGACTGCAAAAGGTCATAAGTCAATTTAGTATTTGATTGTCATCATTTGGAACAAGTTGCCTGTGTTGAGTTTAAATGCACACACCACACTGCTGGATGTGTTTATTTGCATAATTGATTTATATCATTAAAATAAGACATTATGATTATTTATGCTGGTAGTAATGGGATTTGTTTTCAGCTCATTTGTAATCTACAGCCATTCAAGGCGTAGTTCTTCCCTCTGACTCAAACTGTCTTTTCCAACACAAATTCAATTAGTCTGGCTCCATTTGGGCTGTGCTGGACAAATGACTGGGGCAGTTACGTAACCATCCATCTACTCCAGTTTATTGTCCTCCCCATTTCAAAATCATCTACTGAGTGATATTTTGAAGGCTGGCCCATCCATTGCGTAATGTGCTCCCACTTTTAATTTGTTATTAGCAGCAGCCCAGTGTTTCCCAGTGAATTAGGAGAGGGGCTCAACTGTGGAATAGCTATCTTATCTGAACCGCTCAGATTCCTCTTTGACATCTCATCATTCATTTGTCCAGGACAAAAAGGCAGAGAGAGGAACGGCATTGCTCGGTCTGACCCTGCGAGGAATGCAGGTTTATCAGGTAGGGTGTGTGTGTGTGTGTTATTAATGCATAGTATATACGTCAGCACATAGGTACTCGAGCGAATCTGCTTTTGCTCAAAGATTCAGTCTTTGTATCTGTAGGGCTATAAAACCTAGACTAGATAAAGACTAGACGTGTGAGGAATGTGTGGTGTGTGCTACCAACTGCAGTGCATGAGGAGATAGGAGCCGTCTGCCATGCACGTCAGTTGTTTGATCTGTCCATCAGGGGCCATCTGGGGGGATTAGGGCTCCTGGCCTGGTTGATTAAAGAGCCAACAGACCGTGAGATACCTCGAGAAACCTTTGGCCTCGTTGCCAAGCCCAGATGGCTCTTGTGAACAAAAAGACAATTGATTATTGATCATTCATTTGAAGATATATCCAAGTAGATTACACATATAGAAATCTTTTTTTAAACACAAAAGCTATTTCTTGTGTGTGTGTGTGTGTGTGTGTTTTGTATTCATAGGAGGTGAACAACATGAGACAGCTGCTGTACGACTTCCCCTGGTCAAATGTGGGACGTCTCACCTTCCTGGTATGCACACTCTTCATTTCATTGTATTGGGGATCATTGTAATTATTTAATGCCCATTGGCTTTGTACACTATGTATAATATGTTGTCCTATTCAGGGTAAGAAATTCGAGATCCAGCCAGATGGCTTGCCATCAGCCAGGAAGCTGGTTTACTACACCGGGTCATCATTCCGCTCTCGCCACCTCCTCCTGCACCTGAGCAGCAGCCATCGCATTTACCTCAGCCTCCAGCCTGCCCTCAAACACCTACGCCAGCTGGAGGAGAGCGAAGGTAGGGGAGAGAGAAGTGACTACTAGGACAGGACTAGTATCAGTGATGATTAGTTTGGCTGGGGGCCATGTTTATTCAGCAAAACACGTCAGTAGCCACTGGAAGTTAGAAGCATAAATGAAGAAAAGTCACTTTTTCCAGCACAAAAAATCAAAGAGGTTCCTGTTTAATAATCACATTTGTAGCACAGTCTGTAATATTTGACATTTTGCACTTCTGTGGTACATTTGGGAAAAACACACACTGAATTGAACAACTGAAAATATATTTTTGGGTGTTTTTAGAGGCCTAAATATAGTAGTCTAAATGAATAAGCTGTGAGAATTAGGGATGCACCCATTCCAGTACTGATTTTTGATATTGGCCCAACACTGACTTAGATAGCTCAATCGTGTATCGGTGACAAGGGGTCTATTCAATCAATTATGCATGTACTACGGGACGCATCTGCAGTGTGCCGGTAGACCTGAACATTCTGCAAGGAGAGCTAACAGCATTTTGTTTTACAAAGTTAGGAAGCAATGTTTAAGTTAAGCCTGATGTGGCCTTACACATAAACGAATGATTCCCAGTCTCTTCCTCACAGTGAGGAATACAGCTAGTGCTGGACAATGAAACAATAACAATAATTATCGCAATAGACTTTTTCAATAAACAATTATTCAATAAATGTTTGATTTTATTCACTTGAATTATACACAAATTAGGACTTAATTTTTTTATTAGTGTGTTTTTTGTTGAGGAAAAAGACTGAAAAAAGCTTTTACTTAATTTTACTCATGCATATTTGTTAACAAAGATTTTATCATAATTGCTTTGAATGTTCTACTTCAGATTTGTGAAGTGCTCCACTGTTTGGCTGTGTTCGTCATTAATCATCAGGTTACTTCAACTTTCACTCAGGAGCAAAAGTCAGCCTTTAAACTCGAAAGAAATAACGATTTGATACATATTGTGATAATTATCGATATCAAAACGATATTATCATGATAACATTTTTGGCCATATCGTCCAGCCCTAAATACAACTTATTCATTTTACACTGGGATTGGATCGGTACTCTGCACCAGCCGATACCCAAAGCTTAGGTATTAGTATCAGTAACAGAACTTAAAGTCAGATCGGTGCATCACTAGTAAGAATCAAGACATTTTCATTGATCACCACACTTTTAAAGAGTTGCCAATATATTTCCCAACATTTTAAGAGGTAGCACTCACAACAGCTCTATAAAATGACCACCAGGACAGATGGTCTCCTCGGGACATCTTCAGCACTTTCTTCTTAAGAAACACAGCTGACCTCAGTTTCTTTAGATGGTTTATGCTTGAATTAAAAAAAAAACAAAAAAACATGTCTTGTCTAAATTGTAGAGAAAAAGCGTTACAGAGAGTCTTACATCAGTGATGACCTGGACTTGGACCCCCCCGGCAGCGAGAGCAGCCCTGGTCTGTCCCGACACTCCACCAGCAGCTCTGGAATTGAAGCTGACGCACGGCAGCATAGCATCTCCACAGAGATGGCCTCCATGGAGGAGGAAGGTCAACGGCAAGCAGAGAAGTACTTCAGCTCAGCAGCCAGCGGTGGCAGCTCCTGTACCTCGGGGTTTGATGCAGGCAGTAAGGCTCGAATAGAAGATGAGGGGTGGCAAGAGGAAGGTGAGGGGACTTTTTTTTATACTCCAGCATTTGTACAGGAAATTTTAAAATATTAAATTAAATTAAAAATAGATAATGGGAAGTCATTATTACACATTTTTATGCCTCATCTTCCTGTGTGTTCATGTAGTAGCCAGCACCTTGAACTCTAGTACATGCTGTATGCAAAGTTATTTAGTTTTTTGTCCATTCTGCTCCTAAATGCATGTATGGCTGCAGCAGATGAGATCGATTTCTTTTCAGACTTTTAAAAATCAGATTTCTCAAAAAACAAATCCAGAGATCTTGACCAGTGTTGGAAGTCCAAAGGAAGTTCTTGTGGATGATCCTGATGAGATGTTCCAGCTGGCTGATCTTCTTGAGGGAGTGTCAGTGGATTGTGCAGAACTCTCCTCAGAAACTCACACACCAGGTAGGAATCATATGATCGTGACATACAAGACATCCCAACAGTAAAAGCATTTTTTATTTTTTTTGTATTCTCAAACTTTACTTTATTCTTTGTAAAAACAAACAAACAAACAAACAAAAGACCAATGAAAACTTTTGGGCTTTTCAGAAAATAAAGTGTGTTCCCCAAGCAGTGATGAAGATCTCTGGAAATTGCATAACAACGATATGTTAAAACAGGTTGGTCATCTGTCTTCTTTCCCTTCTCTTCTTTTTCTTTGCCTTTTTGGATTTCTCTGTTGTATTTTCTTACCTATTATCTTTACCTTCTGTCTCTATTCTAGATGCTGAAATCTAGGGCACAAGTTTGCGTGGATCGGCACAGCCACAGTCTAGATGATGTACGTCTGTTCCCACCTCCGGCACCCCTGGGAACGACGCTGCCACCTGATTCCTCCCACAGCTATACCTTCGGGCTCCCAGATGCCTCAGCAAACACAAAGACCCCTGCTGATCACAGCCACTACCCACTTTTGCATTGCCAAGCCAAACCTTACTTCTATGGCCGCAGGTCTACCAACTGCCTCTCCCTGGACATGTTAGGTGATGAACAATTCCTCGAATTCATACTTTGAACGTGTCAAGTGCTGTTGTCCACAAATACACCCGTTCCCTTCCTTCATTAACAGTGCATCTCAACTCGCAGGTTGCCAACACATGAATGTCTCAGTGTTTTCTATGTGACGATGACAAGGAGGGATGTATGTGCTTCAAATTGCAGAGACATTATTGGGGAAGAAAAAGCGTGATCCCTGATTGCTCTTAGAAAAGCAGCGGATTAGATAAAAGATCAAATTCAGTAACATTAAATCAGTTAGGAGCATATTTATTAATGTTGTATATTGTGTACATACTGCTTGCACTATTTTATTACATCGCAACTTCTCTGAGCAAAAACATTTCTAATTTTATTGCCTTTTGTAAAGTCCACGCTGTGAAACATTTTCTGAAATGTCTAAATAGGTTAATGCCAAAGGCATAACATTTGACCCTAACAGATATTTTGATCATCATGCATAAGATGGGACTTCCTTCACTTTGGCCTGTTTAATTATTTAAACACTTAAATGTCCTTGTTTTATTCCGGAGAATCTCCAGAAGCATCTGCATGTTTGTGCTCCTGTATTCCTTTGCTTTTTTAAAAATCATATTTTATAATATACTCTATTTTTATATAGTGGGCTCTGTCATGCTTTTCCTATTAGTCTGCCTCAGCAAGTAGCTGCCGATGTGGAAAATTTAACCTCTTTACAGCCGGTAATGCATTCATCCAAAGCTTCCCGATTTTATAGTCTCCTCCCACTTCTGTAATTACAACAGAAAAGTATTATTTGTAAAGCACTATTTCTGTAACCAGTTAAGTGTATAATGAGTCTGCAGTACTTTTGTATTACGTAACCCCCAAACAAAGAACCTTTCTGTCTGGCATTATTTTCAATGTTTTGTAAATGATAATTGGTATGCAGAAGAACTGATGTCTTTAGTCAAAATGAACTCACTTGGAAAGAGTCATTAAACGTTTAAATGTTTACTCAATGCCAATAATGTATGAACAACTGAGTGTTAATTCACAATACTGAACATTTCCTTTTTATCTAAAGTATCTAATGTTTTTTTTTATGATAGTGAAAATAAATTCTCAATGTTACTAAATGAAAGCACGTGTTTTCACTTTGTTGCACCAGCATAATGTTAATCTTATGTTAACATATAGAATTAGATTATATTTCAATGTGCTCAAAGCATGAGTACTAGTCCTGACAGTCTCCTCTCGCGAGAGTTTGAGATTACGTTTGCGGAAGTTTACATTCGGGTTGGAAAACGTGTCGTCCATGGAAGCAGTGAAATAAGCCGGTTGCGGGGCATGTTTAGCTCGCTTGTACTTGGCAGTGCAGCAGCTCTCAACAATGAACTCGGTTTTAATTAACGCGGTCTTGTCCAGCTCGCCTGACTACGGCCTGCTGTTTGAGTCTCTGTCCTGGCCGAGTGACTCATGGCCGGGGACGGAGCGGGTGGAGGCGCTGACCGCTTTCATTGAAGGACTCGGACCACTTTTGGCCGACTCGGACGCGGGTCCGTTTTCGGCCACGAAAAGTAGATATATTAAAGATAAAATCGACACTGTGATTTGGACCCAGTGTCTACCTCTTCTCTCCAAAATATCAGCGGAAGCCGGTGAAGGCGTGCGGTGGAGGGAGAGCACCGCTGCCGCCTGCAGACTTGTGAGTGTCTGTGTCCCGCTGTGTGACGAGGCGGTACCGGGGCGGGTGGCTCTGTCTGTCCTGCCGTCGCTCCAGCCGCCGGAGGAGGAGGAGGTGCCCGGTCCTGGGCGAGTCAGTGTGGAGGTTGCCAGTGAAGTCATGGCTGCTCTCATACCTTCTCTTGTAGGGGACGAACAGCTTACACTCACTGTCCTGTCATCTGCCTTGTCCTGCATCAAAACGCTCCCCGATGCATTGGTGTCCAAAATCACAGTCAGGCTGGTCTTAACTCTGCTGAACTGCTGCAGCGGCGCGAGGTTAAGAGGCATCCTCACGCTGATCCTGGATCATGTGTGCAGCTGGCACTCCGTTGACCGCACACCTGTAGTTACAGAGCGGGCACTGCTGTGTTTGACCGCTCTGTCAGACCATCTATTGAAACCTCACAGCCTACCCTCCTCCTCTTGTGAGCCTGACCCTCGTCTGTCCCTCCAATTCTGGAGGATGCTTCAGGATGGACTGACGCACAGAGACGGCGTGTCACGTAAGAGGGCGCTTTACCTGCTGAAAAAGTGCGTGGCCCTGTCAGAGGAGGAGGGGGTGAACTGTCCTCTCTCTCCATCAGGGGAAGGTAAGATGCTCAGATTTGCTGACGCTGTACTAACTTAAGTTCTCAGGTGTATGGTCTGTTTTCTTACTGTTCTTGAAATTGTTGCAGAAGAGCTCTTGTTCAAATGGGCTCACAACAGGAGCAAGTTGCTTCGAGAGTTCTGGGAGGATTACGCGCTGGTGATGGAGACCTTGGAGGAAAACCAGGTAAAGAAATCCCACATGACTGTTGGAAGGCCAGAGGTTGGCATCATGATACAACTTTGTAATGTTACTCCCCCCCGCAGGTTCACGTGGTCAGGCCAGTTCTCAACAGAATAGACACGTTGATCCAAACAACAGTGAATGACAGTCAAGGTAACACAAGAATTGGGCAAAGTAAGGAGTTACTTTTGTATCTTTAAATAAATGTTTGGAAAGATGGGTTTTGAATTCATTGATACCTCTTTTCAGCAAATTAGTTTTTGGCTTTGTTTTGGTGTAGGTCAGATGTAGTGATGTGGCTGTTGTTGAAACTTTATGAAAGTTGGATGACAAGTCTGTCCTGTTGGTTCTTCATGACTCAAAAGGGCTGCCGTATTGCAACCACTTTTAAAGACAGTTTTCAATTAAATAAAAAAAAGAATTAAGGAAATTCAAGAAAATTGAAGGGCAAAAAGTGCACAAGTTAAATAGACATCCAAACTGATGTAAAAGTAACTAAATAGGTAAAAGAAAGTTTTGTGAAGTGCCAGCCTTTTTATACCTGTTCTCTCTCTCTCTCTGTTGCAGCTTCAGGTCAATCCCTCTTCCACCCCTCCTGGCTGCTGTGTGTCTACCAGCGGATGTTCCACAGTGAGAATAAATCCTTAATGAGAGAGGGAGTTTGCCATCTGCTCGAGCTGCAGGTCCTCCAGCAGCCAGCCTTTGCTTTGGCCTTTTCTCAGGTACGTGCTCAGGCGCAATCTGATTTAGGCATAATTGTGCATCGTTTGTGCATTAAAGTTTCCTCTTCTGTTGCTTTGCTCCTCAGTTCATTGTTGGCCCTTTTATGGGTGTTCTGTCTGAAACATCGCTCTTCCACAGGTGAGGGTTTAAAATCAGTACAAGCAAATAAATAAAGTACTGCAGGAATTACTTTGTTATTAAGTGTGGGTTTTTTTTGTTTTGTTTTTTTTTCTGTCCACATGTAGGTCAGTTGGGCAGAGTGTAGGAGATTGCCCTGAGCTCGGGGCTAAACTCCAAGTCTTCATGGCCACCTTCTTCAGTAGCCTGCCATCAGAGCATAGAGGTACAGAAGCCACAGAGAATACATGTTTACAAAGCTCTGACTCAATTCTCAGGGCTGAAATGCCTGTCCATCTCTGACTATTGTGTTTGCTCTGTAGGCCGTATGTTGCTGCAGATGATTCAGCAGCTGTGCTCTAAGCACTGGTGTGCGGTACCCCTCCTCTTCCTCTCCCAGGCTCTATCCAAACTCCCCTCAGGCCCACTGCTGGGGATCGACGGGCTCACTGCTCTTAGGTACCTCATCATGTTTACGGTTAGACAGACTGCTTCGTAGTCGCTTATGTTTGATATGGAAGCTCATTTTGTCTGTGGTGTCTCACAGGGAGGTGCTGCGCTGCACCATGATCACTCATCAAGTCCTGCTGAGAGGCGCTGCCCAGTGCTTCCTGCTGAATTGCGCCCTCCGTCTCACAATAGTGGTAAGACAAAAATAGTGTACATAATGCTAAAATACCTGACCACCTTACACCAACACCTTACAATATAATATGATAGCATTTTGATCAAAGCTCAAAATCTCTTCTTGACTGTTGACAAGTACCCAGTGTATTATTGTTTTAAGTGAATATGCTATTACATTTCTTTCGGTCAGTGGTGGGGAGGGTGAAGCTGTGACCACACAAATTACAGTATAAATTATTGCTTAGACAATTGATTTATTAGTTGATTAACAGAAAATCAGTTAACAACAATTCAGGTTATCAATGAATCATTGAAGTCATTTATCAAGTCAAAATTAAAAAAAATGTTTTCTGGTTTCACCTTATGAAATATAAGGATTTGCTGCTTTTCTCCGTTTAGTTTTAAATGTTCAAATCTTTTGGTTGGAAAAATACAAATGGTAGAATGACGAAGAATGGACATTCTTAGCAGTATCTAGTGCAAATACAGAAAAAAAATGTGGCAAAGGGGAACTGCGTGGGTTTACTCTAGGTGCTCCAGTTTCGGTTTAGGTTAATACTACTCTTGGTGCCATTGACCAAGGCACTGGCTTAGAATTAGAGTTGGTCCCCGGGAGCTGTACAGTGGCTTTCCACCCCTCCTAATACTTAGGATGGTTTAAATGCAGAGAATGAATATTACTAGACATTGTACTGTATGTGATTATGTATGTGATAATGAAACTGATTTGATTGATTTGATCACCAAAATAATGAAAACATATGCCAAACAAAGGAAAATAGGATAAATGGTTGTACATTAACATCCACTAGAAATAGCTAAAGGACACCCATGGGATATTTGCTCAATAAACCACAAACAGCATCAAAAATAGATATCAAGGTAAATGAATACCTCAGACATTCTCAACAAAACAAAACACTGCACTCCCTGTTGTACCACATTGTAATGTGCTTCTGTTATTTTATCCAACCCTTGTGCTTTCATGCACAGCTTTAAAGTTGGTGAGTTGTATAATTTGAAATATCTTGTTTCAGACCGCAGTGACCCTAGATGATGTTTTTAGTTTCCTGATGGATTTTCGCGCAGATGAGTCACTGTGTAGAGGGACGCAGATCTGGAATCAGGTATGTTGCATTAGAGCCATTTGAAGGGATAGTCCCACTAACGTGTTAAAATGACACATTAGGGAAGCTGTGTGATTGACTAACTGCTAACCTGCATATTTGTGACATTTGCTGCAGACGTGTGCCTGGCTATTGGACAATGAAAGCAGTTTCAAGCCCAGGGTTATGGATGGAGATTGTGCTGGCACTGCAGCAAAGAAAGAAACTGTAAGAGGGTATGTTCAAAGCGAGATACATACCTATCTCTGTGTCCCAGCTAGCACAGGTAAGTCTGAAGTGAGATGGTCATAGATAAAGTGAGTGAATCGATCTGTTGACATGGGGTAAGTAAGTTTCCCTGCTCTTCAGGTCACACTGAGAGGTTACCAGACCCTAGAGAGGCAGATAAGTTGGCCAGGGCCATTCTGCTGTGTGTGGACATGGAAAGGAATCAACTTGGGGCAGAGATCAGTAACACTCTGGAGTCATTACTGTCTCCGCTGCTGGACACCCTGAGCAGAGTCAGCACCAATATCTACTTGCCTCTGCGTAAGAGTGACAAGAGCCTGCAGCTCATGCTCCGACTGTTCCAGCTTGGAGAAACTCCAAGCTGTCAGCATTTTGGAGAGGAGCAAGGTTTGTAATAACAATGATTCATTGTTATAGCTGTCAAGTGCAGCCTCATGCATTTGCAGTAGGAACAGAAGATGGATAGGTGCCCTCTAACAGTAATCCTTCCTTCCATATTCATAGAGTTTAATAAATCATGCACTGGATTTAGCCGCTACTTCTTTCTGTCTACAACACAACAGCAGGATATTTAACAGAAGACTTCATTTAGTCTAGGTTTTGTTCAAACACCCAGCTAGCTTCCAGAAATTCTGTTCATCAAATTATTCCAATATTATTTTATCATTAGAACACATCTCAGCCCTCGGAAATCTGACTTCTGCCATTAATTCTGCAACATTCTCAGGGAACTTTCAGTCACGTTCTTACTATAACTTTGTCTTTTTGTAGTACTGTGCCTATATTATTCTCTGTCATAGTTCATATATTAAGTAGCTCAGGAGTGTGTGACATTCAACTCTTCTCACTCTGCTTTTCACAGTGGATGTCGCAATGGTGGCCATGAAGAAGCTAATTTTTAAACTTGTCGATCCAGTCCAGGAGTTTATCTTGAGGCGGCTGTCTGGGGAGCTGCAGGAGGTAAACAGCAATCAAGCAAATCACATCACTCCAATTTAGCATAGACGCCCCTTGTGGCTAGCTCTGACTTGTACTTGTGCTGGGGTTTTTTTTGTTGTTGTTCTTTGATACAGTTGTGTGATGTGGAGCGGGCAGAGCTGTATCTGTGTGTCCTGAGGCAGCTGGTGGTCATGTACAATTCTACACCACAGCACCATAGTAAAATTCAGCAGACCTATTTCCCTAAACTCATCAAGTACAGCATCAAGGTCCTGCAAGACCCGAGCCAGGAGGTACAAAGCAAAATATTCACGCGTCAGTCATCAGTCAGGAATGTCATAAATCGGTTTGGATGCTTGATTATTCAGCGCTGATTGTTGTTCTATCACCAGTTCAACTCTGTGGCAAACCAGGTGGCTAGAGCGGTTGCTATGGCATCCCTGGCTACCGTATGTGGTCTTGCAGAGCAGGAAATGATTGGCATGCGATCAAAGACCATTTCTGTCCTGAAATCACTGAATGACTACTTCTACAATCCACTGTCGTCTTCCTCCCAAAGTCTGTTTTCTCTGGGAAACTTCAATAAACGCCTGCAAAAACCACAGAAAGGAGATGCTTCAAGGTCAGTGAAAGTCTGTGTAGTAAGCCTTATATATAAATATATATATTCAGAATAAAAGTATACACTCTATTTGCACCAGCCTGGAAAGGTATAATTGTTTTTTTTAGTGATATAGGATTGCAGGGTCCTCTGCTGCAGGACTGGGGACGCATCGCAGCCCATTTTATGCGGGACCAGTGGATTTGTCTGAGTTTCCTCATTAAGGCTGTTGGGGTTCCCGAGTCTTCGAGAGCATCAGACGCTCTCAAGGCTGCTCTTAGCTGCAGTGTGGAGGCCCTGGCTCTGCTACCCAGTGACCTGGTGCTGCCTGTGCTCACATTTATGGAGACAGTGCTGCCACAAGTGAGTCTCAGTCAAATTTAGATAAAAATCAAGCAACTGAAATATGGTATAAATACGTTTTTTAGGTAAAACAAGGAGTTCTTTGTAGTTATAATATTGAGTTTTTCTTACAAAAACTATGGTATGTTTGATGAAGGGTGTTTCTGATGAAGTGTCTGATTTGGTTGGTTTTGATCCCAGTTACTACTTTATGAGGAGGCCCTCTGTGTGGAGGCTGTGACTCTGAGCTGGCAGCTGGTGCAGGGGTTGAGCAACAACGCCCATGACTTCTGGCCAGCCCTGAAAGGCTTCGTCTCCATGGCCTTCCACCATAAACTGCTCGAGCTGACAGATACTCAGGCTCCTACACTTGTGGCCACCTTGAAAAAGGTGATTAAAACCTACTTGGAAATTAAGGAGTGTGGTGATTTGCACTTTGAACATACATTCTCTATAATATATAATGTATTTATGTTGTCATTTTAGATTGCCACCGAGCTGATGGAGCTGTCTCAGTCAAAGAGCGGCGTGTTCGGCGTGCTGCTTCAACACTGCTGTCAGACATGGCTGCCCACAGACCGAAGCAGCGGTGACACAGCTGACGTTGTGTTTTCTAGTGTTTTCAGCCACATGAACATACTCACAGAGGCGTGCGTCTATGGACCAGTGTTCAGAAGAGATCAACGGTAACTCTCAATGCATTTCTCAGATTTGTTCAATAGTTTCTCGGGGCTATTTAAACTGTTTCATCTTGTTCTTCCGAAGGCTCATTCAGGATGTCCAAACATACGTGGAGCAACTCAGTGAAGAGAGTGCTGCCAATGTTGCAGTTACAAGGTGAGCTGCAGTTCAGTCAATATGTGGGAACTCTCTGTTTTATGGTTGTGATTTAAAATAGTGCCATTAGAGGTCTCTCTTGCTATGCAGATGTTTTCAGCTGCTGCTTTTCTTTTCCAGTGATACCAGGGACGATCAGTTCCCCCGCACATGTATACTGGCTTTCCTCAGCCGCCTGGATCCCTCTAATCTGCAGCATGAAAGACTGATAGAGGAACTAGTAATGGATTTGGTGAAAAAGGTAGACTATAAATTAGTTTGGGCTGTGTGATATAGTTAAAATTAGTGTCACAAAATTGTATGTATGTAAAATCACACATGGAATAATCTAATGCATGTACAATTCACACTTCAAACTAAACAACTAAAAGTGTAAACTGTAATTATTTTAAATTATGTTCAGTTTGCTTGAAATCATTATTTGAACCCATTTTTGTAAACAAAAAACAAACAAAAAGAAATAGGCATAATTCCACTAAAAGCTGGTTATTGCCCAAGCACAGGTCAGTTTTAAGTATTTGTGTCCCAATGTATCTTGACTTTTGTTTTCATCTGAGAATAGTTTACAGATATGTTCTTCATGACATTTCATATTGCAACCTAAAATAATATCTTAACCCCTCATCTAATGTTCCGATCTTGGCTTAAAAGAGCTGAGCTAAAGATAAGCCAGGCTCTGATTATCAGAAAATATGTCAATTTTGGTTTATACTTGTTTTACTATGTAATTTTTTGATTTGCACTTTATCATGTAGGTAGATCATTTTTCATTACGATAATAAGTTACAGCTAATTTAACAACACTTAACACTATTTACCATTATCTTCTTTCACCCCATCTCTCCAGGATAATGATATATCAAAGTCAAAAGTGCGTTACTATAGCAACTCCCTGCAACATCGTGTCAAAAACAGAGTATGGCAAACACTGCTACTGTTGCTGCCCAAACTCAGAGAGGTAAGATAATTACACTCACACTAATTATCATACAAGAAATAACCACTCAGAAGGTCACAGTGTCTGTCTGTCTGCCTGTGCATAGGAGTTTGTCACCACTTTGCTGCACAGCGTGTGTGAAGCTGGATTCTGCAGTAACCAGGCCTCGGTCAAGTACCTGATCGAGTGGATGATGATTCTGATCCTCGTCCACTATCCGGAACACATTCACAAATTTTGGGCCTGCTTCAACATGGTGAGCTCCCACTCTGGACATCTGTCTATTCTGTATTATGAGTGAAATACTTTCTAATTCCAATTTCTATGTTTTCTGGACAGGATCATGAAAAGACCAAGACAAGCAGCTGCACCTTCCTGTCAGTCCTGGTACATTTCAATGTCATCATTCCTAATCTTAAGGATAAGGTAAAGCCTTTTATGTTTGTTTTTTTTCCTCCACCATTCTTTTGCACCGCATCTCAGTGTCTAATCGATCTCTCTTCCTGTGTGTTTGAGGCTGTGCAATTGCATAAAGCACTGGACATCATCCTGCAGTGGTGTTTCAACCATAACTTCAGCGTGCGCCTGTATGCCTTACTGGCCCTGAAGAGGGTGTGGAGCTTGACTGAAGCCCGGGCAGAGGCAGGGGCCGATGGTTTGGGAGCGCTGTCCACTGTGATCAAAGCCTGTCTGAACCAGGCTGAGGCCATGCAGAGCACCGGGTGAGAGCAGAACAGTTACAACAATTGCAAAACGTTTGTTGTAGTATGCTAATGTATTTATTGGAGTATGTATTTACTGTCTCACTAATTAGAAATGCCAACAAGAACTGGATGAGGATTCAGGAGCATTTCTTCTTTGGTGCCTTTGATCCTCTCAGGGATTACAGTGTTGAGGTGTGCCAGTATGTTTGTGCTGAACAGATGAAGCCTGCTAAAATACAGTAACTCTGTGTGATAACATGCTCGTTTTCTTTCTTTGTTTTGCTTTCCTAGACCATATTCTATACTTTTCCCAGCCTGTCAGAGTTGGCTGATGATGAGTGGATTCCACCCTGGAAGTTTGAGAAACTGTTGTGTTTCTCAGAAAGTCCATCTTTTCCTTTGAGAAATCCAGCTCCTGACCTGAGCCAGCTCCAGCCTGGAGACTGGGTCCAGCAAGACAAAAGTACAGTAGCACCTCTCGCAACATACCACAATGTTACCTCTTCTCTGATTGAGAGGTCATGGTGTCATGTTTCCCAGGTGAGCAGAATAAGGAGGACCGCTGGGCCGAGGTGCAGAAGAAGATCACTCCCTGGAGATTGGGGATCCAGGAGCAGGAGCCTGAACTTCAGCTGGTTCCCCAACAACGGGCTGCTCGACTGGGCAAACTGCACGGCGCCCTGCTGGTGGTCGCCTCACTTATTGACAAGCCCACCAATTTAGGAGGTCAGGAGTAGCATGGCAAATTACATTACTTCACATTTTTATCATGCTTCTCAGTCATGAAAGAATATTAAATGTCAGTGAATTTCTCCATGATTAGTGTAATAGTGCGAAGAACTAACATGACAGGCTTTTTGTTTGGTTTCACAATGATGATCTGGGCAAAGAGGTCAAACACAGCTGCCACTAAAACCAATCACTTGTGCTCTGTTATCAGGCAATGTCTAGCTTTCATCATAGACACTCCTGTTTTGTCTCAGATGATAAGGGGCTGTATCAGTGAGAATTTTGTTTATAGAGGAAAAGACCCATTTTGAAAACCAATATTGATACTGGATGGTGCAAGCAAGAACATTAGCTTGGCCGGTCTGTAAACGTACTTGAAATCGCTCTCTTGCCATTACAGGTGTCGCTTTATATCAGTCTGCGCCCATGAAGATAGACTGGTAGCCAGTTTATGTCATCACTGCCACAGATTGTGTAAATAAAGGAAAGGAAAAGTGCCCTTTAGATGTCATGGAGGATTTTTTTAATCACAGACTGATATCAGGACAATTCAGAATTCATATTTAGATAGATGCCACTTTGTCCTCATTTGATTCTTTTTATTTTTATTTTTGTTCTAGGTCTGTGCAGGACCTGTGAGATCTTTGGTGCCAGCGCTCTGGTTCTGGATAGCCTCCGCCACGTCAATGACAAACACTTTCAGTCCCTGAGCGTCTCGTCTGAACTGTGGCTTCCTCTGATAGAGGTTAAAGTGCATAAAACAATCTCTCATTTCACTCCAGTGATCATGATGTGTACTCAATCTTTAAGTCTATGGACCTGAGAAATGTGTGATTGCCTAACTAAAAACTCAATTCTACTTGAGCTTTATACAGGCTCCTTCTTTTTTTTTCCTGTTTTGCCATTTCGGAATCTAGTATAATAACTGAAGTAAACCAAAACCCAAGGTTAAAAATTTAATCTAAAGATTCAATTTAAATTCTAGGGAAACAACTGAACGTCTTACATTTGAAACCTGCTGATACCCTGGTGTCTTTTCATCCACCATGTGGTGTAGAAAAAGTGTCATTAAATCTGCATTTGATGATGTTACAATGTGGCAGCATGAAGCAGATTTCCATGCTGGAAGTATTTTGGCCTACTATAAAGACTCTGCAGATGTGTTGAATTTACTGTCCACCCTTTGAAATGTATATTGACATTTTTGTCTCCCCTCGATTGCTGCAATTATTGTTGGAAATGAAAAGTTCAGATTATAAACTGCATCTGTCCATCAGGTGAAGCCAATGGAGCTCACTGACTTCCTGCAGGCGAAAAAGAGCGAAGGATACTGCATTGTTGGGGTGGAGCAGACAGCCAACAGTCAGAGCCTCCAGGACTACCAGTTCCCTGAGAAGACCCTGCTCCTTCTGGGGTATGGCAGCATTCAGTTCTCCATCTTACAGTCAAGTTAAAGTGAAAAAGTCCTTTTCCCCCCCCATCAATGTGTTAACTTAGACACAACCAGTTTCCCAGACCCCTGTGACTCTCACATAGATAAAGGTGTGAGCTGACGAGGCTATTTAATGTTATCTCACCGGTTTGGTGTTTTTTCCCTGCGGGGCCTGCACATCTCCTCTCCATGGTCTACCTGCCGGGGCATGCTGGGCTGTAATTGGCTCTCCCTGAGGAGGAGAGCACAGGAAATATATCACACAAACCAATCCAAGCAGTGAGATGACAGAGGCAAAACCTTAACATTTATCTAGTTTAGTTTGAGCCATCATGCTGCCCTGCGGCTTTCATCAGTTGGGTCAACTTGATGCAAAATATTTTTATTAAACAATATGTAGCTAGATAACTGTAATTATGAGCTTGTGACAGTATTTGTATGGTTCACTCTCCTCACTAACTGTGTACTGCAGTTATGCAGCCGGCCTGGCAGAGAAGGAGATGTTAATATTTATGACGTCTGTGTAGGTGTCCTGTTTTGTTTTACCCTGTTCACTCAGAGGTGTGAGCAGTGCTGTTAGCCTAAACACACCCCGTGTGTGAGCTGAATCTTGAGTGCTTTCACAGCTGTGCTCTCCGCAGCACAGCACGGCCCCGCTCTAATCTCTCATCAGGTCGCTATCATCTCACCCAGTTGCACTAACGATAAGTGTAGCTCATCAAATGATGCTTTCTAACTGTGTGGCACCCTCTGTAGACTCATTGAATGCCAAACTCATTACCTCTTTGTTTGCTTTGCATGTGCCATATTGCTGGATCTCCGTATATACTCAGTTGATTACAGTTTGGATTGCTCTTGGACTTGAGCTCATGAGTCATCTGTGTAAAAAGCTTATTCGACATAATTGTAAGGACTTGAGAAAATCAAGAATTAACTTGGCCGCTCATGGTAAGAGTTCTTAAATTAAATCGACTGGATAGCATCATTACGCCAAATGATAGCTGAAATTAAAAACCGTTACAAAACATGTTTATTGATCAGGGTTAGACTGAAAAAACAGATGGTCTGATGTTATATATCAGACAAGTATATATTATAATATTATATATCAAGAAGTCAGTGTCGCCTTATTGCTGACATGATTTAAATCCTGCAGTGTATTTGAAGTTCTTGACATTATTAATACTTTCAGTAATATTTTCTGTAAATGAAATTATAAAAATGTTAAATTTAATAATAGTTCAATATACAGGAATAATTTAATATGGAGTCATTTCATAAAGATGAAAATACACTTGATACCAAGATTGATACCAATGTCTGCACGATAAACATAGCTAAAGCCAGCAGCGGGTTAGTTTAGCTTAGCACAAAGACTGGAAATGGGGGAACAACTTTAGCTTTGTCCAAAGAGAGCAAAATACTCCAAACAGCAATTGTCTAATGAACATGGTATATATTCTTTGTTAAATCGATAAACACCGAAGGGTAAAAACAAATGCGGTTTTACCGCTAAGATGAGCTAAGCTTTACCGGCTGCTGGCTGTAGCTCTATAACATTATTTATTGTGCAGACATGAGAGTGGTATCCATCTTCTCAACTAAATCTTGTCAAGAAAGCAAATAAGCATATTTTTAAAAAGTAGTGAATATCTAAATATCATAAACCAATCACTCCACTGTCTGTAGTTTCATTCAAAAACACTGGCAGACATTTAATGCTAAATATTCCTGTTACTTGGTCCCACTCTACAGTATATTGTATTTCTCTTTCCCTTCTTATAGCAACGAACGAGAAGGTATTCCTGCCAATTTACTCCAAATGTTTGACGTATGCGTGGAGATCCCTCAACAAGGAGTCATCCGTTCACTCAACGTGCATGTGAGCGCTGCCCTTCTGATTTGGGAATATACACGGCAACATCTCACCTTTGGCTCAACCGAAGTCAACTCGAAACACAGCTGAGGAAGTAACCAGCAGTGCAGCCCTATGGCGTGACATCTGGCCTCCAGATGTTGACCTCACTTGCTCCTCTCTGGCAGCAGGTGTGAAAAGCATCTTGAGGGACAGCTACTGTACATGAAGATGCCCCATACAGTTAATGTCAGGACCTTAAAGTTTTTCATGTTCTGTTTGTATAGGACTATCCTTTACTGGTCTTGTGCCCTTAATGAGACTCATGAATAGAGTCATGAGATTGGTTGTGGTTATTACATCTAAATATTCCTCTGGGCATGCTGTTATATTAAGGGAGGTAATCTCTATGTCGGCAGTGCAGAATCATAAATGGAATTTTTCCCCTTTGAGGAGGAAGTGTCTTGTTTATGTGAGCAATTAGTTTTTGCCTCAGAGCACCAGGACTGAACTATTATACATGCTATTTAAATGCTGCTTTTGTTGATCGGCATAATATTATGCATTGCCAATGTTTTTATTACAGCTCCTGATTGTATTTTAAGTTTTTTGATATGGTTGAATAAATAAAAAAATTTACATGTGTGTTGTTATTTATTTTGGGTAGAGAGTGCATCAGCAAAGGGAGCTCTGAAGGGGTTAAATAAGGTCGGCTACAGTATGTGCTCGAGCATCCTCCTCCCTCCCCTTAAAAGAGAAAAGGAGTTTGTTTCACCTGGAGACCGTCCTGCCAGAGGGGGAGCAGATGGAGTACATTTGATCACACTTCTTTCTTTTCAACGCCTGTACGTGGTTCACCATGTGATGATAGCAGTTATCTGAGTGGGACATGGATGACCAGGATGGCTCCTGGTGGTCTCTGCGGGCGGCGGCAGCGGTCAACTCCAGCAGTGGGGAGGCCGCAGAGCACAGTTTGTCCGAGCGGACCCAGCTGGTCTTGGAGATCCTCATGGTGCTTATGTGTTTGGGCGCTGTGACAGGTACAGAATACCTGTTGACCTTTTTTAAGCATAAATAAAACTTCTAACTTATTGTAATTGCAACTCCTGTTATTTTCTATTAATTGCCCGTCTAAAATGTTTTGCTATGAAGCTTATAGGCCTGTCCATATACTGTACAGCCACAGCACTTAAATTCTACATTTCCTTGTTCCAGCACTTCGGTGATATCGCACATGATTATCACATTGACATAGTGGAACATTCTTCATTTGTTATTTGGTTTGTACCTAACTGCTGTATTATTGGTTAATAAATCATTTACTGGTGCTGTATCAATTTAAAGAACCATTTTCGGGTTGCCGGGTTGTGAAATATCCCTCTGGCAAGTGTTATCCTCTTCCAGCATGACATTTGCAGTATCTTTTGTCGCTCTTTGGTTAATCAGAAAGATCGCTCCTATGCACCACGTGACTTCTGACCTTCTAGAAAAGAGCTGCATGCAGAGCATCTGGACCAAAATGTATTGTTTAACAACCTGTTTTAAAACCTTTAACAGCAAACTTTATGAAATGTAAAAATATGTTTACCAAAGGCTTATTTGACATTTAAAATGACATGGTTTGAAAGTTAGACCGATTTCACTTTATTAATGACTTGCTAACATTTATGACTGCAGACTTGATGAGTAGCCTAATTGGAAAGTCAGAAAATCATGACCTTGTATAATTGCCTTTGTTAACATCTGTGCTGGCTTGTTAAAAAGTTAGACCCATGAATCTTAATTGATTATTAGAAAAAACAACCAGCAACAAGATTAGAAGTTTCTGGAAAGACTGGACTTTTTAAATGTAATTTTTCATTGCTTTGAGTACCACCAACAAAAGCATCTTGTTAGATTTTCTTTAACAAAAGGTACTTACATCACTGCTCAGTTAATTACCATAATGGTCTCTGCATTGCTGTTTAGTATAATATAATAATATATAAGGCTTGTTTCATTGCTATTAAGAACTCTGCCGATCAAAGTCAGGCTGTCCAGAGTTCAGATATTAAATCACAGGTTTACTGCTGTGTGGATTCTTGTCTCTATTGCTGGGCTACAGATAGAAAAGGTGGTTGTGTGGTCCAGCATCCAACCAGTCTGACCTCTGTGTTATTGTGTGTATTTCTGTGTAGGCAATATTCTTGTCATTGTTATTGTGGCTGCAACCAAGACTTTCCACTCGGTGACGTCAGTGCTGATCATGAACTTGGCCATCAGTGACCTCCTGGTGGGCGTCGGAGTGATGCCTTTTGTTGCTTTGTCCATCATGAACCGTGGATGGGTGGATTATGCTGTACGTCACCTCTGTCCAGTACTATAAAATGCTTTACAGTCATGTAACATCACAGTATTAGTTTCTGACGTGGCCTAAATCTGACTTCTTATGTCTAATTTTCCTTTGCTTTAAAAAGTGTGCATGTGATGAGATTCTGTCTCTCTCCTGTCTGGCAGGACCTCTGTTTGTACGTGGGTTACACCTCCTCTGTGTACTGTACAGCTTCTGTACTGACGTTAGCTGCTATTGCCCTTGACCGCTACTACTCCATCATAGACTGCCTGCGCTACAGCTCCCGCTGCACCCTGTGCAGGACATGTGGCGTGGTCCTGTGGATCTGGCTGCAGGCTCTGACAACCAGTTGCCCTCCCCTGTTGGGCTGGAGCTCTGTCAGCTATGTGGGTCCCATGTACAGTTGTGCGGTCAACTGGGCCAGCAGTCCCAGCTACTCTGCTTTCATGGCTGCCCTCTCCTACCTCATACCAGCAGTGGTCATCCTGTTCTGCTACGTGAACATCGTCAAGGTGGCCCGCAGCCATGCCAGGAGGATTCATACATTGGAGGACTCCGTCCAGCGCAGCAGAAATCCACACTCCGCCTTCCCTCCTTGTGATTCATCTCGCCAGCACTGTGAGAGCCTCCACAGCCCCTCAACACTGATCTACCATGTAAGTGGACAGTTTGTGTCTGAGGTCAGTAGAGAAGAGGGGGATTATATTAGTCCTGCTCTCCCTGGTTCTGCTACGGAGCAGAATAATCCTTCATCCAGACGTATGTTCTCCTTTCTGGCTCAAAGCGCCTCCCAGCCACCCCTGCAGAACTCTCAGCAGCAGAATAACCACCAGGGACTGGTGCGTCTCTTCCTGGTCATCTCAGCCTTCTTCCTCTGCTGGACACCTTACATAGGTGTGGCCCTGATTCAGGCCACGGAGACTGCAATTTCAGGCCAGTCCAACCTTGTCCCACCTTCTGCTGTTACTTTTTCGTACTGGCTGGTGTTGCTGAACTCTGACATCAATCCACTACTGTACGCTCTGCTTAGCAAGCGTTTCCAGGGCGCTCTTCAGGGACTGAGGCAAAAAATAAGAGCACGCCTGGGGAGTGTGGTGGGCAGGGGAGAGGAAGATGACGGCAGGAGCAGCGACCCTTGCACTCTGACCACCACCCATCCTGGTCTGCCTTTCAGCTCTGAGACTCCTCACTCCTCCTCCATTTTTACTGTTAGCGCTGATTTCAAACGTCATTCTGAGGATCTATGCAAAGTGTGTCGCCATGAAAACACCTCCCCATCCTGCTCCATGTGGCAAGATGCTGCTGGTGACGACTGCCTGCAGGTCCCCACTCGGCCACAAGACAGCAGCAGACTACCTTTCTCTGCTCTGACCAGTGAGCATCATGCCACTTTCTTCTATGGCCAGATAACAGTGAGAGTAGAGCATGATGTGTGTTAATCTGATTTCTGCAGATGCTGTTGCAAAAAATTCTTACCTGTGGCATTCAGACTTGGACTGCAACTAACAGTGATTTACATTATCAATTAATCTATCGGTAATTTTCTCAATTCATTGATAAATCATTTGGTCCATAAAATGTCCATCACAATTTCCCAAAGCCCATGACATATTCATTGTTTGCTAGCTTGTTTTGTCATTGCAGCTGTAAAAAATAATAATAACATGGCATATTCAAATGTCTTGTGTTGTCCGACCAACAGTCCAGGATATTCAGTTTACAGTTTCTCACAAGTGAGAAGCTGAAACAAGGAAATGTTTACATTTTTCCTTGAAATGTGATGATTAACGGATTATCAAAATAGCTGCAGATTTAATTAAATTAATTGCCTGTGGCCCTTTCCAGTGATCAGTAATTGCAAACCACGGCACTGCAACACTGAGGAGAAAACAAATGTGGACAAATGTATTGAGAAAAGTCTTTTATATAGTACATGTGATTACACTTCAAGATACCCAACAGTAGATCTAATAAACCCATCATTTATTCACACTCTAAATATTTCTTCCTCAAATGTGCTAATCATATGTTGCATCTCAGTGTAAAAATCATCATTCCTTACAAAGGTTTACATTTATTTCTAGCAATAATTCCAGAGGAATACAATATTATTATTTATTGTCATAGAGAATGACAATGGGAAACAGTGCTATTGTACTCTATTGCAAAACAAAGAAAAGGCAGTGAAGTGGACTTGCCAGCTGTATCTGCTCATACAGGACGTGCATGCTCGCCCTGCAGGTATCACTCACCCCCTCCCCCCCCCCCCCGAGGTTAGTAAGCAACCAAATGCAAAAAATATAAAAAGTCCTGTACGATACGTCAAAAGTTTGTTCCAAAAAAAACAACTCGGTCAGATGAGTACAACAAAGGATAAGTATTAAAGAGTCTCTCTGCAGCAGTCTGTGGTGGCACTGTGAAAAACAGACAGCAGGTAGCGAGCATGTGTGGTCGAGTGATGTTCATACATTCACAACAAGGCAGAGTTTCTACCGGGCGCTTCACACGGCACGTGCCTCATTTGCCCTCAGATCCATCTCAGTTGTTGACTTGCCTCAGAAATGTGATTAATGAAAACACATACAGTAAGACTTTTTTTTGACAAACAGCAGAAGTGGACCAATGCGAGCCATTCTCATGTGTCAATAGCCCTCTCCCCGAGCAGTGAGACATTTTTCAACTACTGTTATTTTCTTCAGGGGGAAAGAATGTATTTAGCCGCAGATTAGTTTGCGTGCATAGCGGGTCTAGACACTTAAATGTGATACGAAATTCCAAGGGAGCTCAGTAATAGCTATGGTTGATATTCAAAGTTATTAAAGGGGTTCATGAAGCTTGTCTGTCTTATTATGTAAGCTGTTAGTGCTTTAAGTCCATCCAAAGATTGGGATATATTGGGAAGCATTAATTGTCAGTGAGCTACATAATAGTTTGAACAGCAAAAAAAAATCACATTTTAAATAATCTGAATGGCAATACATGTATTATCAGTAATGTTTGGTTGATAGAATGTTAATACTGTTTGCTGCCAGTGTCTCAGCAACTGAAAATGTGAGGCAAGTGCTTCATGGATGGACTGAAAGCACTCACACTTCTTGACAAACAAATTTCAACCATCTCGCGCATTGAAAACCTTGCAATAAAGATACTGGTTTTAGATCTTTCTTGAATAAAGTCTGGGCCTGAGCAATTGGGTGTCAGCATTGACAGAGCAGGAGATTGGCCCCAAGAAAGCACATAACCACAGGGGGCCAATCAATGTGGTCTAAAAAGACCTAACCTCTCTCTCTCAGGATGAACAGAGTGAGGCGTTGTGAAAGCTTCTCCAGCTCAGATTGATCCTCAGATGTCCAGACAGGTCCCTTCACACCCGATGAGCCCATTGGGTCCACAGCTCCAGGACACCCAAGGTGTGAAACACAGCTATGTACAGTGCATGAAAGGCAGGTACTTGTCATTAAGTTTACACCTGAGGGACGCCACTGTGGGCCTCCCCTTAGTTTTCAGGCATTCAGCATTTCAGGCATTCGTCTTTGGATCTTAAAGGTGTGTAAATGTGTACATGATAAAGAAAGTAAGTCCACAAGGTGTTAGGCCTGCCTCAAAAAGTGTCTTTTTTTCCTTAGAGCTGAAAAATATCAGGCAAATTGGCAAGTCTTCCCAGGCGCAAGGATGTAGTGAATGGAATGATTAAGAGGTGCAGCAAAATTAATACATGACTCAATCAGTTATACCTGATAATCTTTTGGGGTAAAAAGGATTACAATTGATAGTCCGTGCGCCAACTTGGATTACTTCCGAGTGGAATGGATGGGAAATGAATGATACAGAGTCTGTGCCTTCTGCATCTCCCCTCTTGGCTGTAATGTTGACTGATTGGAGAACAGTCTGAAATACTTTTCTTTTTTTTTTTTCACTCAGGGAGCTGCGTGAAAGAGAGGGCAGGTCAATTGTCCCAACATCAACACTTAGAGGTGTTAATGTGTCTCCCTCCTTGTGTATGTGTGTGTTTGCATGTTAATATTTCATGGAGTTAATGTGCAAATGTTGACATGGAGGTCCTGCTTCTCCCCCTCCAGTTGAGCCCTGCCTCTGCGCTGCCCTCTGCTGGCTCGTCACGTTTGCGCAGCTTTGTGCTGAGCTGGATGATGCACTGGTCCCAGTCCTCCGGTAACAGCAGCATGAGGAAACCCAGGCAGATGATGAACACAGCAATGAGGCGCACTGTGTTGAAATGAATTTCACATGTATAGAGGTCCACCACTGTAAAATTATGAGGATGCGTTAGTATATGAAGGAATATGTAAATAACAATAATATCTTGTAAATAACAAACAAGAATTTATAGGATTAACGTACACAATTAACATGCAACGTGGAATATAAATCACCACTAATAATACATGTAAATGTTTGTCTCATAATATCAGAAAGTATACAATCAAAACTAAACCGATTTGAAAATTTTATTAAATTCTTCATCAAATTTAGATGGTAACTTTTGGGGGTATTTCAATGCCATCAAATATTTCATGGTGACCAGGTCTAAAACGTTAGGTCTGGGAGGAAAGCCAAGAGACTTACTGGCATTTACAGGAACACTTAAGACGATGCCAAGGGAAATTAAAGTTGGGTATGTTATCGCAATGCCAAAGTTCACCAGGATGTTGAAAGCTGTGGGAAGAAGCAAAATCAGAGCGGCTGCAGACTACACAATGAGGGTGTCAAACCATAAGGTTTATGCACAGGTATGTGCTTCATATGTCATCTTTCCATACCCAAAAGTAGGCCTGCAACCCCGCAGAGGTAGGCCCAGGGGATGTCTCCAAGTGAACCGATGTACTCCACATGTGTAAAATACAGGATGACCGGCACAAAGCTGATGAAAATAAAGTTGGCGCTCCCGACAATGCTCAAAAAGAGTGCAGCCTCTCCAAATTTGGCACTGCCCAGGACCATCTTGAAGAGCACCTGCGGATAAACAGGTAGGGAGAGTAATGAAAGCACAAAATCTGCCCCCTTAAGGAGCAGAGGGATATTGCAGAGGGCGAACCTGCCAAGTACCTGACATGTCTCTGGCACAGGGCCACTGCTGTATATTTATCACATTATGTGGCAGAGACAGCAGGGCAGACGAGACCAGAGCCCCCTCAAAATTTAGCTATCTGCTCTGTAACCTCCTTGATCAGGACATCACAGTCTGAGGCCAGCAACCAAACGCTCACATATCACACGCTTCTGAGTCTAACATTTCATAATCTCCTCCTGTCTTCTGCCACCTGGTTACATAAGTAGGGGGGAACGAGTCCAGGATTTCTTATGTAAGACAACATACATACATATGTTTAGCTATTTTAGTTTAGCATTTTTTTGTTCAACTGCAAGCGAAGGTGTCACTACAAGGGCAGTTTGTGGAAGGACACAAATGTAGTAATAATGTTCTTCAATAGATTACAGGCAAACCAATACCTTGTAGAGCGCTGACATCGAAGCAGAGGCCACTACAAAAGTGATGCCGATGACTGAGTGGCTGTGGAATCCATCAGCATAGGTCATCATTACAATGCCTGCTATGGCCAAGATAGCAGCGACGATCTGTAGAGAGAGAGAGAGTAGGAGGAACATCAGAGAATGACGGATGGACGTCATGCTGCTCACAGTGTGGTGATAAAGACGCACGAGCCTTTACTGCTGTGCAGGGACACAGCGGGCCCACATGGCCTACACTTTGTTATTCACTGCAGAAATCACAAGCCTCCCAGGACAAGGCGTGTAATGGTATAATTAATACGCGGGCTTTAATTTGGTATTTTCAGACAAGTATACACACTCCAAATGAAGTCTGTTCTTGGATTCACAGTGCAAGTGCTTCTAACACAGGACAGGCAGCTTCTACAGTGCTGGCTTGATTGTCTGACATTGATTTTCGTTACCCTGCCATCATGTTTGCAAACCAAACCCCCCTCCCAGTGATCCACCAACCCCCACCTCTCACACCCCACTCCCACTCCGCTGCCTCTGAGATTATCACAGCTTCAAAACGCCACCAAACCATCTGTTTCATCCCGCTCTCAACTTAGCCTTAAAGAATCAGAACCAAAGGTGTTCAGCTTTGCTTTATCGTGTTTGGAGCATTTGTCTTTGCTATTTGTGTGCCTGGGGTCATAACCAGAGCATGCAAGCGCGTTCGGCTGAAGAATAGCGATGGGGACGGGGCGCAGTCCAGCTGAGTGGATCAGCTCTGCATTAAGGCGGTGTCAGGAAGATAAATGAGCCATGTGTTTTTGCTTGGCCAAAGCCCTTGGGCACCTTTGGCAAAATGGCTCTTTCTGCACTGCAGGCTGCCTGTCAGTCACAGATACACCTTTCACTTCTTGTGACAGACTGTTTGCTTACAAGGTCGGTGACCCTGCATGTGTTGATGCTTTAGTTTCTTGAGATGTTTCAGCACAATGTGAAGGTCAGAGGAAGCAAAGGAACTGGACACCCGCACATTAAGTAGCTCTTTACGGGATTACAGTGTTGTTACTGCAGCATGTGAATGTGGATTAAGCTGCATCTAACTCCCTTTATAACTTTGATGACCTTCTAACCTGTGTGGCACCCTCCGACTCTGCTGATGCCACCACAACTGAGGCAATAAAACAAAGCCATCGTTATACGTACACAATATCGCCCAAACAAACCACCTCCCTGTTTAACAAGGATGATTTAGCATCGAGCATCTTCCTCTCTTCCCCTCTTCACCATCATGACAAACTCGTCCAAGATCCCCTGCATTGCTGCAGACATCCAAACACTGCAATCCCCACCACCAAGTAAGAGAGAGAGACTAGGGTTGTAAGAGAGAGAGAGAAGCAGAATTATTACAGTATTTGTCTCTTACTGAGGCCTTTCATCGCATATAATGGGGTTGGGACTAGGGGCACACACGAGGGAGAGGTGGGGTGGTTGTGCCGGAGTGTGTGAAAGAGAAAAAGAAGGAAATCCATTCCGCAGAGTGTAGGATGGCTGCAGATATGAAAGCATGTGAGGAGGTGCTGTGGGAGGAGAGCAGGAGATCCCTCAATTCACAAAGAAGCTAACACCCCTTACTCCCTTGCTTGTCTCTCCTCATGCAGACAAATTCAGAGACAAACATGCAAGCACACACGCAGATACACCAGGAGGCACACGTGAATGACACTGCGTTCATTGGTAAGAAATCACACTGACCGTGCTGTGTGTGTAGCTCACACAAGTGCAGTCGAAGTAACCCAACACACATTACGTGCATTCCTTTGGGAGATATATGCGCATCATGAGGGAACTCCTGCACAATAGAGGTGATACATACACACTCCAGTACACTATATACTACAGAAAATAGTGGACTTATTTTTACTCATCAAAGCAAAGAGAGATACAATATGAAACCTAAGGACAAGTGAAGGTTATCGTATGTCCAGTTATCTAACACACAGCAAACCTTTGCAGCAGAAGTGAACTGAGCTTTTATGTAACACCACTTGTGTTTGTTGTAGCTCACAACTTCTCATCAATTCTAAGTGGGGAATGGGGACTGTTTTGTGGGAACTGTTCCCATATAAGTCTGCTATTGAACAAGACTGCGTGGGCACTAAATTTGAAAGCGCACGCCCCTAAGTTGTTCTCCCTCTTTTGCTAGTCAGAATGAGATTGGTGGCAGAGACAGGAGCATGGAGAGGCAGTAGCCTAAGACAAGAGACAGAGAAACAGACAAATAAAAGAAGAGGTGAGGGAGTCGCGCTGGTGGAAGCTTGTAGCCTATGCTGCACACCCTGAAACATTCACAGTCGTTTGAAGCACAGCTTTCATGCTAACGCCATCACTGAAACAGAAAAAGATCTCTTGCAGCTACCTACCTGTTCTACATGCATTTAAATTTCATTAATGGTACTGATTCCTCAAAAGCTACTGAAAACTACTCAAAACAAGATACCATCCTAATCTAATATAGGAAACAATGAGTCATTAGTTCAAATTGTTAGTTAAACTGTTCTTTGGTGATCACAGAGATGTGTGAATATTTGATCTGTTAAGTGGATGTATATGTCAAATTGACTGCATGACTCATTAGGCAGAGAAAAGCTGTTGCTCTCAAACATTGGATAGATGAAATAGCCCGATAGATAGAAAGTTTGCGAAGTGATTTCATCATACCTTGGCATAGTTTTTTTCAAATGCAATTATACAGTAGTTTATTTTGATACACTTAAAAATAGGGTTTTTGGTATCTTATTTTAAAAGACATTTTGATGTATCTTTGCCTATCCTTGTTGGTGAGTCAATATTATCAGACGATACTGGCTTATCACAGATATAATGCAAATAGAAATAGAAGCACAGACACATAACAAAGACAAAAAAATATTTAGCACAACGAACACCCGAAGGACAGGAAAGAAGAAAGGATATACTTCTGCTACACAAAGTTATATATTTTTTAAGACCTTTCTCTCATCTTGGCTTGGTTCTCGTGAAAAATTGGATACATTTGCTTCTTTAGGGCTCTGAACATGATCAAACTGAATCAATCTGGGAAGGGAAAAAAATCCCTTTTTGGTGGAACTACTCATAAATGAGATAAAATAATTATAATAATAATCTGAGGCTGTAGTATCCACGATAAATGAGTATATCAAACATTCAATTAAAAGATTAAATCTTCATGCTGTAGTTTCAGAGAACATGATGATATGTAACCTTATAGGAGCACATGTTAGAGCACATACATATATACATATACATTATGCAAATGTTGCTGTGTTTGTTATTATGTTGTATACAGATGAACAGTGCCATAGGTGTGTAGCCTGGAGGATAAATCGTTATTTTACTATCCACTTTGCTGTATGGGGCCTGTGCTTGACTTAGACTCTTATCTAAAGATGCAGCGGCAACATTTTCTCTCAGGAAGTGAAAAAATGTAGACAACAAAAGTCACACAGACACAGACACACACAGGCAGATGTCCTCACCCTGACCCCCATGAAGCGGTCTCTGAGTACAATCCAAGACAGCAGGAAGACAAAGGCCTTGTTACAACAGAAGAGCGCTGACACGTCTGTTGTGTTGATCTTCCTGAGGGCCTGCAGGTACAGGTAGTTGGTGAGGATCCACAGCAGGCCAAAGGGAGCTACCTTAGTGAAAAAGACCTTCGGTGTCAGCCCATCGTCCCCGAAAAACCTACAGCACTCTCTGTGCAGGGACACAACGCAGAGCACAGTGTTAGCATATTGAAAATTGTGGTATAACTAATTAAAGAGTTGATAAATATTATTATGATCTGGGACTTTAATCAATATTTATGATCATAAACAGCTTTGTCTGAACAAATAATACCAGAGAGACCAGAGACTCTAATCAGCAGTGAGTGTGGAAAGTAAATCACATTTTAATACTTGTATCCAAATGAACACTTTCATCGCAGTGCATGTGGGACCAACTCTGCTTGAGAAATAAGTAAATATTTACGAATAAAATCTGATCTGCAAGGCACTGAAGTAAAATGTTTCTGAGCTAAACTTCAGCTGTCTCCATTAATGAAACTAAAATATTAATTTCCTCTTATATGATGTGTTTTTGCCAATTCCTGGTTACACTTTAGAGTTTAAATAATTATCTAAAAGTACACAGAGTAAAAAAAGCAGAGAGGCATGACAAATATTAGTGAATCTAAGACTGAAATATTTTCGTCTTCCTCACTTCTCAGCGTTTCTTAACAAGACTCTCGGATTTCAGTTTCTAGATGTGAAGTTCCAAATGCGTGTAATGCTAGGCTTCGACATGTCAATATGTTATAAATACTAAACACAAATAACAGTATGGTATGTGAAATGTGCCATACTTACATACTTAGGAAGCAAAACTGAAACATTTTGACATTTTGTTATCTTGAAGAACTGATATAAACTTTAAGGGCTTTCTTCCTGGCCATGTATGAAGCTAAGACATATGCTATGGATGTTTTTCAGTGGATATCTTCATCACATTATGGCTTAAGTCTGGACTTGAAATGCCCCTGATACATAATGTCTCAGTATCAAAATACTTGGTAGTGATCCTGTCAGCTCTGTTACTGTTTTTAACTCAACAAGATGTGACGTTGCATCACTCTGCTGTAATGCCAAGAAATATTTATTCTACTCCCAAACTACGACTCCCCCAATAATATAACTTGACTTTGTTTTTGAGACACTGGCATTTCTACTGTTTATAGTGTTCTTGATGTACACAGTTTACCCTAAAAGCATCTGGCCCTGTGAAAGTGATGAAGAAGCAATAAATGAGGAGTGGCAGGTACCACATTCGAGTCCTGCCAGATACTGAGGAGCAGCAGTGCTCTGAATCATCTCCAAGAGAGCTGAGTCTGCACTAAAATACACTGCCAACACCCCACTTTTTAGACAACAACACTAATTCAGAGGCAACCACATTAAAGTCTATCATCATTTCATCACAGGCACTCGATACACCAGCGTCAAATCGGTTTGTTTCTTCTTTCCTGTTGCACTTGTGAGACTTCAGAAAGAATTCCAGCTCTACAGCTGTGCTGAGGAAGGTGCTGATGATGGATTACATGTATATAGCGTTTTATCTTACACACTCAAAGTGTGAAGGGGGTGGGGGTTGAGGAACTGCTCTCAATCACCACCAATGTGTAGCACCCATCTGGGTGATGCACAGCAGCCATTTCCAGCAGATGCTCACCACTCATCAGCTTGAGGTGGAGAGGGAGGGAAACATAGAGCCATTTACACTGAGGGATGATTAGATGGCCAGATGGAGAAAGCCAGGTTGGGAATTTTGCCGGGGGAACTCCCTACTCTTTTCGATAAATTCCCTGGGAGCTTTAATGACCACAGTGAGCCAGGACATCTCATCTGAAGTATGGCATCTCCTACAGCATGTAATTTTAGGATTTTATTAGAAGGCCCAGAGGGAAGACTGCCCCCTAAAGACTACCCCCTAGTGGCCCACCATCAACTCTTCCAGCAATAACTTAGTTTTCCCTGGAGGTCTCATCATTCAGGAGAAACAGTGTACATGTTAGAATGGCTGCTGGCAAATATGGAAGATGTTTTTAAACCATCTAGTAGCTCATGAAGTCAACAGTTACACTTTAATCAAAGTGTTTCAGATGAGAAAAGCAGTCTCTGGTGCTTGACATATTAAAGAGTGTGGGCATCGTTTATGTTTGGCTTCTATTGAGCAAAATCAGCAATAGAAGTGATGACATGGAATCTATTTACAAAAAGGATCAGATAATGTAAGACAATGTAATGCAAGGTTTACTTGTAGGAGCCAAATGTGGTGTTTTGTGCATTCAGATTGGGTGTCGCTCTGCTATTATCTGGGGTCAAGTACATAAAGGCAGCATTCAAACTTTTGTAGGCAGGTGTTTTTGTCCCGGAAGGGCAAAGGGTTTTTGAAACCTTTGTTTGACAATCTACTGCATGGAGTATATGGTTTTATAGCTACCCCTGTTTCCATCCAGGGAGTCAGTGTGGACATTGTGGAGGATTACAAATACCTGTGTGGACATTGTGGAGGATTACAAATACCTGGGAGTGCACACTGACAATAAAGTGGACTAGGCCAAGAACTCTCAAGCCCTCTACAGGAAGGGTCAAAGCCGTCTCTATTTTCTGAAGAGGCCGAGGTCCTTCAACATCTGCAGGACGATGCTGAGGATGTTTTATGAGTCTGTGCTGGCCAGTGCTATCCTGTTTGCTGTCGCATGCTGGGGCAGCAAGTTGAGGGTAGCGGACGCTAACAGACTCAGCAAACTGATCCACAAGGCCAGTGACGTTGTGGGGGTGGAGTTGGACTGTCGGTGGTGTCAGGGAGGAGGATGCTGTCCAAACTACATGTCATCTTGTACAATGTCTCCCACCCACTCCATGACATGCTGCTCAAAACAGGAGCACTTTCAGTGCAAGACTTATTCCCCCCAAATGCACCACAGAGCGCCACAGGAAGTCATTCCTGACAGTGGACAACTTTATAACTCCTCCCTCTAAGTGTCTGACACATGGATACTTAGTTAGTTTTAAACTGGACATTGTTATCTGTTTTATGCAATAGCACCTGCTTAATTACTTAATGTGCAGTACTCTCTGCTGCAATTCTGCTGCTACTATTTATTCATTATTACTGTTCACCATAACAATTCCTTTAATTATGTAAATATTGTACATATCCATATTTTATTTTATTTTATATTTTTACTCTGATATTTATATTTCTTCATATACCACTATCTTTATGTATATTCCTTTTGTCTTTTGTGTAATGTGTGCAACTGTGACACAGAATTTCCCCTCGGGGATCAATAAAGTATTTCTGATTCTGATTCTGATTAGTTGAAACTGGACAAATTGACATGTCACGCTGCATGGTAAAACAAATAAACTTATTATTCAGTAACACAACAAAGCCTGGAGTTTATTAACAAAGATACAGTAAGGTAACAGAATAAAAGAAATACAGCATGTCAGCCAGTGCACTCCTGGGCTAAACCACCTCAGTAGTCAACAGTATTAGACTGAGCTACTACACTACTTATGAGCTTGTGGTCTTCCTCAGCAGATGGAGTTTGCAATATCCAAGTCTGCTACATTAAAAGCTAAGAAAAACAGCCAGTAAGTCAAAGTTGAGTTAATTTTCTTTTGGACAAAACACTGTTTTTCTAAGGTCAAGAATGAAATTTGATGCTCAACCCATGAAGGTATTTTCCAAAACAACTGCATTTGGAATTAATTCAAGGGACTTTTAAAAGGGTTTCATAACAGCCAAGAAAAGTCAAAACTTTCTCAAACTACAATTAAGAGAAGCATGGACTCCTACTATTGAAGTAAACACATGAAAATGCAGAACATGCACATTTCATTTTATGAGGTGAATTATATTTCTGTCTCTTGCAGCTACAATCTGTCAGGAAAATCTTCTCCAGCCATACTGTAGCTATAAGACAATAAGCTAGCTATTACAAATGTCTAGTCTTTGCCACTTTGTCTACCGTTTAATATATGAGACAGGACAGCGTTTACAAATGTAAACTCTCTGTCTCTATTTTCCTGAATTGTCTGAGATTCACCAGCAGGTACAATTTGAATAAACCCAAAGGAGTGCTTGATATTCAGAGCACATCAGCTCCGGCCGAGGAGCAGCAGCCCCAGATCCTTGTGTAAGCCCTCAAAAAAAAAAAAGAATTACATCACAGAGATGCAGTAGAAAATAAAGCGCTGATCCCCCGACTCACCTGCCCACCACACTTTCCACCCCACCACCCTCTTTGTCTCTTTGTACTAAAGTAGCACGGCAGGTAGCAGAGATAAGACTTTTGTCTAAAGACCATGATTAATGGACTGTTTCAAATGTGAGAGCACTTCTAACACATTTTGGATTACATTCTTTCTGTTTGCTGCAGCAGCATTACTAAATATGGCATGGGAACCTGATATTCCAAATTAAGTAAGCAAACTTGGGAGGTAAACAACTCTGGCTCATTTGGTGAGAGGCCTAAATTAAGATAATGCTGCTATCCTTCTTCTAAGCAGTTGGCCAAACAGGTTAAACGTGAGGTGTGTTTCCTCAGACAGAAAGGGTGTGTTGTAAAAATCTACTTTTTGTTATTTGAGTGAAGATTCCCCCATGGACACAATGGTACACTGCTTGATATTGTATATTTTGATGTTTAATATTTTGAGATTAAATTGACTTCTCTATTGTACCTGACTTTAATGGATTTATTCTGCTGGCTAATTTGCTCATCCTACCTCATTTACTTGTGACCTCTGGTAACCAGCTGCACACTGATTATGGCCAAATGTGATTTTCTTTGTATATTATTTTAAAGCATTAAAAGGTCAAATTATCCAATAATTTAGAGGGGAAAAAAACATTTTTTGAAGAAGTGTTTTTCCCGTCCTGTTTAAAATCTCACGTTCGTTTTTGGGGATCTTGAACCCCAGGTTGGGTACCACTACATTCATATATTTCCCACAAGGCTTATCCACATTTCCCATAACGTGCCTGAGCATTTCAGCTGTAGGTGTCATCTGTATAAAAAGCAATAACGAGCCTATTTATTTTCATTGGTTGAGAAAAAAAAAATTTCCACCAAATGAATGCGTTGCATTGTGATCCACTGAGGCTGCTGCTGATGGGAAAATTGATTTTGTTGTAGTTGTATCTGGATAAGAAACATATTGACTTTACATAATGGTGTGTGTATTGGCTTGCTAACCATGACAGTAAGAATAAATAATACAAAAACAAACTTTTAGAAATTAAAATACACCAATTTTATTAAATTAATGAAAGCGACATCACTGTCAGTTTCTTTTTAATAGTGTTGAAGTGTTTTAGGGGGGATAGGGTGGTTTTGCTCCTCGACTCTGGAACAGTCTCTTTGGCTTACGTTGTAGTTACACACTTATTTCTCCTTGTTTTATAAATTGTCTTCTCCCTCCTACCTTTACTTCTTCTTCCTGTAAAGCACTTTCTAGCTTTGATTTTAAAAAGTGCTATATAGACAATGTTACCTTGCTTGCATGCAGTGAGTCTTCTCACCTGAACCTCTGTCTGGGTGTCTGCCTCTCTGGACTCTTGCACAGGTGGCCAATGTAATAGAGGGGGAAGAAGAGGCAGTTCCAGGAGGTGGCGAACCAGGTGAGGGTGAAGGGAGCGTCAAACTGCTTAAAGGTCAGCTTGGCCAGCTGGGTGGAGCCTGCCCAAGACGTGCACACGCATATCACCATGGCGACCCCCCACAGGGCCTTCCGCACCTGTAAGGTCGTTACTCTGATGCAGCAGTGGAGCTTCCGTCTGCTGGTGCCGGACTCTGCTCCTGCCACACCACAAGCCGTCTGTGCGTCTGTGGTGCCCACCACATTCTCCCTGGCGCGGTCTTCTCCTATTGATGGACACATACAGGTTACATGCAATGATGCATCAATGATTGCAAATTTGTTCTATGATCAGGATTTTTTTTAATTTTCCCAAATTATCCTTGTTGAAATGGGATTTAAGCACATTTTTAACTAAAGACAACATCATTTATATATTTAAGAAGAAGATATACTTCATTTATTTATTGTATTTCTGCAAGTTCTAATGTTGTTTAGCATTATACATGTCCATATACAAATAATTTAATTATCTGTTGCAGTAAATCTGAACTAAGAGCTCTTTAGAGCTCGAATGAGACTCTTTTATCTGTGCGAGTGTCTTCGGGTCATCCGTGTCTTGCCATCTTTTTCTGGATAAAAATAGCTGCTTTCACTGTTTAATTGAACTTGAAGGTAATCAATCAGACATCTGAGTTAAAAATGTGGTGATCAAGTGTGACAGGCTGCAGCCAAACAGAGGACAAAAGAGGACAGATCTGATATCCAATCCAAGACGACCTCATGACTTACAATGACGTGTGGGTGTGTGGGTGTGTTTTTGTGTGTTTGCCCAAGCGCACACAGAGCAACACTTAACTTTTGTCTTGCTCCTGTCAAAGCCTGATAGCCTCCATACGTCTTCAGTAATGAGTGAATTGAAGCATATTGTTGACGTGATGTTTTCAGTCCCACTCACACCCACTCTGTTCTTCTAAACGGATTCACTTACCAAGGTCATTTCGTTCCCTTGAGTCATTAAACTTACTTATGGATACACTGTCTACTGTCTCCTCGAAACATTTCACATAAAGCTGTATAATCATGTGTAAAAGTTTAAAAGTTCAGACACTCAAACGCAACATTTGAGATGACCTTCCAATTGCTCAGGTCCTCTGCTTGGACATTTATTCTCCAGATAATGCTAGATGCATTATTGATACAGCAGATCTTCATTCAGACAGGTTATCTGCCTCTCAGTGATATTGTGCACTAATGTAACATTAAGATAGCGTGGTTAAGACTAACAGCAAAAAAGGACACAATCATTAGTAAAGCCCTAATAAATCAGACCGTCTCTGAGCCAGACCAGAACCTATAGCTATACTTTCACCACAGAACACAAAACTGCAAAGCCACAAAAAACAACAATCCCATATCAGCTCTGTTCCATAAGGGTTGCATAATATGTACCATGAGTTGTCACTAGCTTCCTGCCTTCCAACAAGTTAAAAAAGAGGGATCTCCCTAATGGTGATTCCAGAGGTAATGATATGCCGCAGGGAGCCTTTTTCAGATTCATCTGCATCGTGCAATGCTGACTTGAATACAGAACGCACTTCAAAAGACCTCAGTGAGACAAGAATAAATCTAACTTAAGTTGGTCGTTACACTGTGGGAAAAAATTATTATACAGCATCAACAAGACACTGATCTCTCTCATATTATTTTAGTTGTCCTGTGTCATTTTATTGCCATACACCTAAAGACACCTTCTATATTCATGTTAATGTGATGTATGTCATCAACTCACACACGGCAACTCATTCTTCCTGGGAGAGCTGCCTATGACCTTGCCAGGTGGTCCCCGGGCTCTCTGCTGAATGCACAGGAGATTCTAATTTCTGTTTATCTACTAGAGGGGGTGAAAATGTGATGCAATTAGGATGAAATTGTGCAACATTATTTGGACATCCCGAACAATGCTCTCTGCTGCTGCACAAGGGCTAAACAGCACTGACAGTACTGACAACCCTGAGGTGAATTTGGCAGCAATGAAAGATGATTCAAGATCATTGTCTGTTATTGCAACGAAAAGATGAATCAGCAAATACCAAAAAAAAAAGAAGAGAGAGAGAGACAGATACAGGTGGATGTCTGTCAAAGTCTTGGCCACAAGGGTGAGAATTATGTTTCTCTATTCTGAGCTCCAAGCCTCTTTGTCTCGTTCTGAAGGTCATCTCTTGTTTACGCTGCTCGTTTTTTGTCCTTCCTGGGCCCCCGTCCCACATCGCATGGCTATGGCCACTGCTTCATACTGCAGCACAGTTTAATCTTCAAAATGCAGTGATGGGCCACACCAATCAGCCCCGAGAGAGGCACTGGCGCCCAGCTAAGCATTTTCAGCTCTGGCACATGTGAACGCATGACAACATTATGGGTAGTGATATTCCTGTCACCCAGCCCACACCCCTCAATGAAGCTGTTACCATAATACTCTGAATATGATATATTATCTCTTTTATTAAATGAAACCCAGTTGTGTAAATTATTAATTAAAGCTTCTATGATGAAATGCTTTTTCCTCTGAAGCCCTGACTTAATGGTTTAAAAGTGACGCACTTTTTTACACTTAGCCTGACGGGGACTAATGATACTGAATCAACATTGTCTGCCAGTGATGAACAATATGAAACACGGCTGAACTCATCTGCGTGAGAGAGCTGGGTCAGTGAAGTGGCTGAGCGAGGTATAAAGGCTCCTACGCTAATGACTTTTGAAGCCATAATTACCATGACTGAAACACCAAGAAAGAGTCTCCTTCTGTAACTTCTAAATGATTAACTGAAAGCTCTGAGCCTTAACAGTTTGTAATCAGATGTCAACCGTCAAGGTATCCGATGTCAACCGTCAAGGTCAGCCCGTGACCCAAAGAAAAGCTTGCAACGCAACCTTTGGCTTGATTTAGTGATTTTTTTTTTTTAAATACTCCAGCCTTTTTCATACCAAAACAGATTAGGGCAGATTAGGGCTAGTAGCGGCTGACTTTTGGCAAAGATGGTTAATTTAACACTAGATGAAAATATCTCCACTCATTCAACAACACATTCTCTGTCCAAATGTGCTTAAATGAACCTAACAGACATCTGTGAAATCACTGGAAGCAGGAAGAAAGAGTTTGGCATCCTTGTAGGACCAGCTTTGGATCAACTCTGACAGCCGTATATGGCTTCTCCTTGCTGCCTCTTCAAATGTATTCATCCCAACCACTCACAATCAAGGGCTTACGAACACCGTGGAATTCAATATTTACAGGTAAAGGTGGTTCTCAAGAGTACAGAAAGGGTCAAAAGCATTTATCAACAGCCCTCCCGGGTCTTTACATAGAACCATACAATACTTTTCTCCTTAATTAACATTTTAGGAGAAACTTCTACATGTTCTGGGTGGTACTTCTCCACCTGTGTAAAAATCAGTAGCAGAATCAGCCTCTTAACCACTAAAGGCACAGTAAATACATTTTTTTTTCTCATATGTTCATTTGTCAGCCTTTAGTGTTTTAGTATGCGGAGCACCTCATAGGCGGAGTATCGAATATATGTCCTAATCCCAGTAGGGTCGAAGCACTGCGATTGGTGTTGAGACTTATCTGGCCATTAAGTAGCCAGTTTTCCAGTTTTTCCTCCATCTCAGTCCATGCTTCCCTGCTTCCCGACCAGCCTCATTCTCACTACCACTCTCCTCCCTCCCCCTCCAAGACTCTGCAGTGCAGGTCTCTCCTGCTGATAGCTGCAAATCCCAAACGTGCCAGCAGAGCCCTGCCTGACTGCCTATTCTCACACTTCACAGAACCTGGCCATGACAAGCCCGAGAAAGACACCGCTAGCTCCCTGAACGGGCCACCACCCTCACCATCCACCACTCTCTCTGCCCTGCTACTCCCAGGGCAGGAACAAAGATCCCAGCAGGCAGCAGGGACGATAGCATCAGGCTTAGGTTGGTTTGTCAGGGTGGCCATACAACTGTCGGGAGGGCTTCGCTGGGATCTCAACTAAGTTGGAGACACTGAAGTAAGGGGGGTTTGTCTGTTTGGCTACACCTCTGTGGTAGTAAGAGTGCTCTGCAGCGCTCTGCCCCAGTGATTCAAGAGGGTAAACAGATCAATCACCAATACACACTTCAGAGGAACTCTTCTCCTTGTCTTACTTTCTGCTGGGTCACTGCTCGGTGATGAATATGAATTGACTGGTGCAACTTATTCATTCCGTCATGCTCATAATCAAGCATTACAGTGCTTGTTTGACTAAGCGTTGTTTACACAGTTCATATTAAACAGCTTTAATACCATAAGTTTACCTTTGGTTATAATGATATAGATTTTTTTTAAAATTTCTTTGTACAAATGTAAGATAGAAATGCAAAATGTGTGTTCATCTTTAAACTCATCTGTGGCTGTCACACAACATCAATCATTGCATCAGTGCTCCTAATAAAAATAAATCCTTCAATCCCATGTTGACTTATTTGGTTTGTCATTTCTGACATGTAAGTCAAAGTCTGAGTCTCTAATGGTTTAAAAAGTAAGACAATTTATAGGAATTTGTTATGAACTATAACCTACAAATATGACATTAGACATTGGACAGAGAGAGATGGTAGTTTTTTTCCTGGCAGACAGGCGGTCACACAGACAGACAGCAGTCACTGTCTTTGTAATCTCCACATCTGACAGACAGTGGGTGTCTGTGATACCTGGCTGTGGCAGTATGGCCTGACCAAGCTGTCAGTTAGAGAGGCCGTTCAACACACCAGAGCAAGCTCATCTAACAAGCCTGTCCCACTCAATAACACAACAGAGAGACAGGCGGAAAACACACCCTGCTGCGTCAACCAGCTGATGGGTGGGACCACATGGGCTGAGGGTACAAAGGCCCAGGAGGGCAGACAAGGGCGGGACGACTGTTACTGATCCTGCTCTCCTTAATTCCCAACTGGTTTCTCCTTCAACCTCAAAGGACAACGGAGCGAACTTCCTCTGTGAGTAGCAAACTTGTTGTTTATCACTGCTCTGACCCAGCTGGTCCAACAGATGCTCATGATACAGGTCACTGCTGTGGCCCAATGATGCCTCATTGGTTAGTGACACGACAAAACACTGGTGCAGGCAGGCCAGAGTGTGTTTGTGTGTTACAGCAGAGGAATAGCAATTACTCATATTTGTCACAGGGTACACTGCCCAACAGTAGATCTCCCAGTTTTGAAGCATCCCTCCCTCTCTCTTGCAGTCCCTTACAGCAGTGAATATAGT